ACGCATGGTCTGTATATACAATGAACGGTCTATCTCCTAAGAGATAGACGCGAAACTTAGCCAGTGCATACTTCATGGCAAGGAGTTCCTTGTCATGCACTTGATAGTTGCGCTCGGCCGGTTGCAGCTGACGCGATTGATAACAGACGACACGCTCTGACGCCGTCTGTATCATATTGCATCAGTGCACAGCCGATTGCAAAATCGCTGGCGTCACAGACCACATGAAATGGTCTGTCTTGATCGGCAATCGCCAATACTGGCGATTGCATCAAGCTTTGCTTGATACGTTCAAAGGAACGCTGACAATCAGCGTTCCAGTTCCACTTTACATTTTTCTTGAGTAAACAAGAAAGATGTACTGTCATTTCGGCGTAATTGCGCGAGTACTTGTGCAAATACGCCGCTAGCCCAAGGAACTTCCTTAGTCCCTTGACATCGACTGGCACTGCCCAGTCGGTGATCGCCTTGATCTTCTCTGGATCAGGGCGTACGCCGTTCTTTCCGACGATGCACCCAAGAAGTGGTATTTCGCTAGCTGCGAATATACACTTCTTGAGGTTGGCGTATAACTTATGCTCGCGCATAAGTGTAAGAACCTTACGGACGTGGAGTCTATGGACTTCCACGTCTGTTTTCCCGTCCATAGCTCGACTATGGACGAACACATCATCGAAGTAACTCGGTGCGAATTCGCGCACCGGTCTCAATAGATGTGAAACACATCTATTGAATGTGGCTGGTGCATTACGGAGCCCTTGCGGCATCACCAACCATTCCCAGAGCGTACCACTGGGAGTGCTCACTGCTGTGTACGGGATGTCCCGTTCACGCATTAGGATCTGATAGAAACCATCCATCAGATCCATGGACGAAAAGATGGTACTCTTAGACATACCATCTATGATTACGTCCTTTCTCGGTATCGGCGTTTGTGCCGGTATCGTTGCAGCGTTCAACTTATTGAACGCGTGCACTATCCGCCACCCTCCTGTGGCCTTGCGCACACAGAAGGTCGGAGAGTTGTGAGGTGAAGTTGACTCCCTCACATGGCCCGCTGCTAGGCGATTGGCAAAGAACTTGTCGATCGCCTCGACCTGTTCCCGAGGCAGCAACCACTGCTTCATGACACAATAATTTGTGCCAGGAACAAGGTCGATCTCGTGTCGAGTACATTTTTCCTTAGGTAACTCGCACGGAACGGATTCAGGGAATACATCCTTGAATTCGACCAAATCCTTGTACAAAGGATTTGACTTCAGCGACTCCCAGGATTGCGATGTATATCGCTCAATCCGAGTCTTCTCATCAAGGACACTTTCGTCCATTGATGAGCTGCTGAGAACCCGTTCGTTCTCGGCAAAAACTGTTGCTGACCGAATGTCAGTCATGTACTCGTCCTCTGCGACGAGCACACAGATCTGCTTGACTTTGCCACTACGCAGATCACGCAAGAACCTTTTAGGTTCTAGCGTAGGCAACTGAGTTATCTCCGAAGTTAACTTCGGAGGCGCGATCAGATCAAGCGTATAAGCGCCTACGTTTGATCCGTCATTAACCAAGAAGTTCAACGTCTCGGTTACTTCCTGGGGACTTATTCCCTCAGGGCACTGGGGACTTATTCCCTCAGTGATTATTTCCTGGGGACTTATTCCCGCAGGCTCGATGAAACTTGTTCCATCGACTTCCTCTAGCTGTGGTGGCGCAACCACAGCGAGATCCTCTACGATCAACTCTCCAGTTGATCTAGGATTACCGTGTTGCCGCTTCTGGACAACCGGTTTACTCTTCGGTGAATGCTGCCCTCTAGGCGAGCATTCATGTCCCGGTCCACTCGACTTATTCGGGTGGTGGACCTTCGGCGCTGCCTGTGCTTGTGCACAGCCGCCGGCAGCTTGCTCCACAGCGTGACTGTCTATCACGCTGAGTTTTTGTGCAGTCGTACTAACGACCGAACCACAAGTGAGGCCATCACACTCACTCGTAGTACATTCACACGCTTGTGAACGCTCCAAGACGTTCATCAGATGGCCATCTGATGAACGTGTGTCTTCGGCGCTGCCTGTGCTTGTGCACAGCCGCCGGCAGCTTGCTCCACAGCGTGACTGTCTATCACGCTGAGTTTTTGTGCAGTCGTACTAACGACCGAACCACAAGTGAGGCCATCACACTCACTCGTAGTACATTCACACGCTTGTGAACGCTCCAAGACGTTCATCAGATGGCCATCTGATGAACGTGTGTCTTCGGCGCTGCCTGTGCTTGTGCACAGCCGCCGGCAGCTTGCTCCACAGCGTGACTGTCTATCACGCTGAGTTTTTGTGCAGTCGTACTAACGACCGAACCACAAGTGAGGCCATCACACTCACTCGTAGTACATTCACACGCTTGTGAACGCTCCAAGACGTTCATCAGATGGCCATCTGATGAACAAGCGACAGGCATCTTCACGGTTCGATGCTGCCAGCTGACTTATGGCTCGTACCTTCTGAGCCATGGTAATCCTAGGATGACATCAAATTTGTCATCCAGATCAAGTACGATGAAATCATCATCGTACTTTTTGCCTTCAAGCGTGTAGTGAATTCCCACTACACGTTTCTTTAGTGTCACGGATGCACCAGTTGCAAGGCGCACCGTCATCCTCGTTGGAGGGGTCTCGCGCTTAACATATTTGAGCCTACGATCATCTAACGATTGGCGTCGAACAAAGTTGTTCGAAGCCCCACAATCAACTAGGGCGCGAAGTGACATGTTCTTTGTCACTTCGATCTTCAATGTGATGAGGGATACCTCATCACTGGAAGCGGCAACACACAGTGACTGTGTGTTGGGAGCAACCTTCGTCAAGAGTCCCGCGAACTCTCTTGACGTTGCTGGATCAGTAGGTCGCTCCGCCCCTACTGAACCCGACCGTTTTTTGATGGTCCACCACGTTGTTGCGATTTCGCAGCAACGTGGGACCCACGTCTCTGGCCCTTCTTGGCAGACGGTCGATCGTCACTCCCAGTGTTACGCGACACTGGGCGTGGGGCAATACACTCATAAGCGTAGTGGCCCAACTTCTGACAGCGATTGCACTTTTGCAATCGCTTGTACCCTGGAGAGCGAGGTTGCTCGCTCTCTACATAGGAGAGGTCCATTGGTTCTGGACCTCCGCCCTCCTGTCGTCTCGGTGGACGATAGGATCCCGAGTGGACGTGAGCCTGTTGTAGGCTAAAGTCCTCCTGTTCCGCTGCAGAGATCACTTGATCCAGCGATTCTAGTTCCAAGCGGAACAGGTGGGTCTTGACAGGACCATCTGTCAGACCCTTGATGAACACAGTAACCTGCGTGTGTTCATCGATTGGGTTCAGTACGATACAGCTAACGAGGTATCGTAAGTGTTGGGCGTAAGCGTGTATATCACGCTTACCCTGTTTCAAATCCAGAAGCTCAGCCCGAGCCCTGAATTCGGCGCGAGGCGGTTCAAACGTGTGTTTGAGCCGTGCCTTGAAGACGTCATACGTTGGGAAAACGTATGGGTCGTGCAGTTTGAGCCCTAAGGCCCAAGATTTGGCACGTCCTGCCAAGTTCGACATGGCGAACTTGACCTTCATCGCATCGTCATCGATGCGGCGAGCCTCAATGGCATCGTCGAGCTCGACGAACCATCTCAACAAGGAGTCGCTTTCGACTGCCTTGTACTTGGAGACATCAATCTTCAAGGACTCGGGTCGACGTATACACGTCGACCCGGCAGCAACAGCACTAGCCTGCTGTTGTCTCAACAGTTCAGACTGTTGAGCACCCTGCTGCATCAACAAGTCAGCTTGTTGAGCGCCTTGTTCTCTCAACAGTTCAACCTGTTGAGAACCTTGCTCCTCTAGCAAGGTGAGTTTCTTTACAACTTCGTCAAGTTTATGTTGTATGAACTTGGCGATGGTTGCATGTTGGTCGTCTCCGCTAAGAGAGAGCAACATGGCACCAACGGCAGGGTTGCCGATGGTTTCAGCCATACGCTGAACCGCATTCCATTCGAGGTCACTCAAATGGCGGAAATCATCACGCGTTGCGTGATGACGTTCATCACCCGCTGATTCCATAGCGGATGGTGCGGTGGTCGCTGAAGGGACCACGAAGTGCTACCAGGTGTAATGGGGCACCCTCCGACTATACTGATTACAGTATAGTCTACTTTCACTGATTACAGTGAAAGCAGGTGCTCTAATTACCTCTCTTACACAAGAGGCAGAGGAAGCTTTACTTCTAAACGATACGCTTAGAAGTAGAGGAAAAGAAAACTGTATTTAATATTGTTAACTATCTAATAAAACTAATCTGTTATAACCTATGTTAACTATATCAAACTACAACTATGTATGTTGACAACTTGCCCTCCACTCATTGCGCGCGTCCATCGGTCATTGGTCAGCGCGTTGGTTGATATGATGGCCCATATCAACCAATGAGAGGGCATCTCCAACTTCAAGGAGATCTAGGGACAATATTATAAGAAAAGGTAATATTGTCAAATATTATTAGTTATAATAATATTTTTATTGACACTTCATATAAGTGTCAATATTATGTGACGGGCTCACCCCGTTACAACATATGTATGTTGCCTTTGTACCATCCATTCATTGCGCGCGTCCATCGGTCATTAGTCGGCGCCCTGGTAGATGTAATGGCCTATATCAACCAGTTAGAGGGCATCTCAAACTTCACGGAGATGCAGGGACAATATTGTAGGAAAAGGTACTATTGTCAATAATTTTTTAATTATAATAACATGTTCTTGACACTTCTTATAAGTGTCATTATTATGTACGGACTCACTACTCAGAAATACCCAAAAGTACCGATAGTTTTATTTCTTGCCGGTACTTTTTTCTTATAATCTCCTCAATCAGCGTTTATGTAATTTTTTATAACTAGCGTAATACATTTCTAAAATCAAAAATAGGAATTTTTCCCAACTCAATAAAAAGCGGCTCCAGCCATCGAGTCTACTAAACATGGGCAAAATCATCGAGTCGATCCTGAGCGTATATTCGGCGCGTGCGGACGATGCGTCTGCACGTCCCACAATTTCCTTTGAGTTTTTTCCCGCCAAGACGAATGCCGGCATATTTAATCTACTAACGCGCGTGGAAGAGATGGGATTAACGCTACAGCCGACGTTTGTGACACTCACATGGCGTTCCGCTTTCAAAGACGAGACGCTGTGGTTACGCATCGGTGCTCATATTCAGAATGAATTTCAAATGGACATACTGCTGCATTTGACGTGCCATTTACCCACGGAACAGCTCAAACGTATCCTCAAGAACGCGCGTGCCGCCGGCATCCGCAACATTCTCGCACTTCGAGGAGATCCGCCCATTGGATCCGAGCGTTGGGCGCCTGTGGAGGGCGGAATGAGCAATGCGAAGGACCTTATTAAGCTCATTCGAGAAGAGCACGGAGATTATTTTTGTATTGCTTGTGCGGGTTATGCAGAAGTACACACCGAGTCGTGGAATCATCCGGACCTGCCGCCGTCAAACGAGGCGCGTGCTCTAGATCTGCAACGACTGAAAGCCAAACAAGATGCAGGAGCAGACTTTATTATCACTCAGTTTTTCTTTGATGTGGACAATATGATCCAGTGGATCGCTGATTGCAAAGACGCAGGGATTACCATCCCCATCTTGCCCGGCTATCTACCAATTCAGAACTACAGTTCCTTCTGCAAGTTCACGAGCTGGTGCAAGACACGAGTCCCGGAACAGGTGCTAACGGATTTAAATGCGATTAAAAATGACGACGCGGCTGTTCGTTACTATGGCACGCAGCTTGCAGTGAAGACGTGTCAGCGTCTGCTGGCTGCTGGAGTGCACTCGCTGCATTTCTACACGATGAATCTGGCTGCTACCGTGACGCAGGTGTTGGACGATCTGCAACTGCTGCCTGCGCGCAACCAGCGCGAGCTGCCGTGGCAGTCAACGTTGCATCGCTTGGCCGTCGAGGGTGAGCAGGTGCGCCCCATCTTTTGGTCTAACCGCCAGGCCAGCTATATTGCGCGTACTGCTGCGTGGGACGAGTTTCCTAACGGACGCTGGGGAGATCGCACAAGCCCGGCTTATGGTGAGCTTTCGGAGTATTATCTAGCCTTCAAGCGACCGAAGGTCCAGCGTGCTAAACTGTGGGGAACTCCACAGACAGAAGAGGATGTTTGGAACGTGTTCGTTCGTTTCATTGATGGCCAGGTGAAGCAACTGCCGTGGTGCGAGCAGGCTCTGTCCCTCGAGAGCGCTGCCATCAGCGAAAACTTGCAGTGGCTCAATTCCAACGGCTTCTTAACAATCAACAGTCAGCCGCGAGTGAACGGTGCTCCTTCGAGCGACAAGTCTGTCGGTTGGGGTGGTGACGACGGTGTTGTGTTCCAAAAAGCTTACGTGGAATTTTTCGTTGCCCCTGAAAAGATGGCACATCTCGTGAAAGTCATGCGGCGAGACTACCCGCAGCTGTCGTTCCACGCCCTCAACCGCCGGGGCGATGAGCACCGCAATACTCCGCTGCACAGCGTCACGGCCGTCACGTGGGGCGTCTTCCCCGGCATCGAAATTGTGCAGCCCACGGTCGTGGACGCGGACTCTTTCGCAGCCTGGAAGGATGAGGCATTTGAGTTGTGGCAGACCCAGTGGGCATCGGCCTACCCTGAGGGTTCGCGTTCGCGTGAAGTCGTCCAACACATCTACGACACGTACTTCCTTGTCAACATTGTCGACAATGACTATGCCAACGGTGAGTTTTGTGCTTTGACAAATGCTACTGATTCTCGAATGCAATTGGTTGTGCTAACAATGTCTCTATCATGCTACATGATACAGATGAGTCTGACATCTTTAGCATCTTCACGCGGATTATAACGGAGGCAATGAATAAGGATCAGCTACGCGCGCGTGTGCTGGAGCTGGCAACTCGACGGGAAAAGATGTTCGACACACTAGCGTCGTTTCAGACGTTGCAGGACGAACAAAATGGAGAGCTGCGCGCTACACACTCGGAGCTCGCGAGTGTGCGCAGCGAGAATCTCCAGCTAAAGGAGAAGATCCGCCAGCTGCAGGCCCGACTCGCTCTCACGTCACTGTAGAGACGAACCGAACCAGCCCCTAGAGACCAGACCCCTCGCAAATAGAAAGGAGCAATCGCAAACAAACGGGACGGATGGCCTGAGTGGCTGCATCTGTGTGCCTTCCCTTCCAATACATGGATTTCGATTGACCCGATATTGGCAATGTATTGGGCTCTGTCGAGCTAAGCTATCTGAGTAAATGATAGAGTAAATAAAATAGTGGTGCTTTTGCGCCTTGCAGACGCAAATTGACTACTATTGATACTTCAAAACTTGTCCTGGCAGCGATTGCTCGTCAGTTTTGCATTTTTGTTGGTTGTGCAAATTAATGACTCAATTGACCACTCTTCTGTTTAGAAATATATTATTACTCCAGGGGAGGCGTTATGATCACCTCCTACCTTTCGTTTTGTGATGGATGTTGAACTTTTTAATCTACTGCTTGTAAATCTACTGCTTCTACTGTAGATAGATCTACAGGCGTAATGGTTAGCAAAAAGGTGAATGATAAATAACTACTATGGTTTAAATCAAATAATAGTAATACTCCTGTCGTCACTCTATTGTACTATTTAAAAAAAGGCTGAAATGATTCTTAATAGTGCTACCCCATCTTGCACTAGAGTAATACAATAGCGAATGTAGTATTGCAATCAAGCAATACCTTCACTTTATATAACCAAATGTATTTGACATTGTATACATAGTATAGTACCTTTCATATTTAATTATACAATGTGATCCATTCAAGTTGGTTTATTTTTCCCATTCGTGTCTTCCCCCTCAAAAGACCACTCCAGTACTATCAGTAAGTAGCCCAACAAATTCACCATGAGCATTGAACCCGCACGCGTGCAAACGCGTCTTACGAAAGAAAGTGGTCCAAAGGTCACAGGATCCGCCAGTGAAACAAAGATCGGTGGTTCTTTCACGTTGACACCCAATCCGCCCTTCCTCACAAGACGAATGGCCGTATACGATCGTATTATGACTGAACAAAAGCAGCAGCTCCAAGAACTAGCAGCGAAGCAAACAATAATCAAGATTACGCTTCCTGATGGCACGATAAAGGAGGGAATTGCCTGGCAGACAAAACCTTTGGATGTAGCACTTGAGATCTCACAAGGATTGGCCGATCAGGTCGTTGTAGCTCGTGTCACTTATCGTGGAAAACCGGACGACCCCTTTAGTGTCACAGCTGCAGACGTGGACGGTAATGAAGCCAGTGATAAAGCCAGTGAAGACACGTGCTGTGGTGCTGTTGCTGACTCGTCTGAGCTTTGGGATGTCTTCCGTCCCCTTATTGGTGACTGTAGATTGGAACTGCTTAAGTTTGACGATAAAGAAGGTCGGATGGTCTTTTGGCATTCGAGTGCTCATATATTAGGTGAAAGTATTGAGACGCTTAAAGGCGCTCATTTGACTATTGGTCCTCCTGTAGAGGGAGGCTTTTACTACGATTCGTACATGGGCACTGAAACGATCTTGGAAAGTGATCTGAGTGTCATTGAAAAGGCCTGTCAAAAGGTCGTGAAGGACAAGCAAAGCTTTGAACGTGTCGTGCTGACCAAGGAAGAGGCACTCGAGATGTTTGCCGACAATGTGTTTAAGACGCAGATCATTTCTACCAAGATCCCGGATGGAGGCAAGACCACGGCTTACCGCTGCGGCCCACTCATTGACTTGTGTCGCGGTCCGCACGTTCCCCATACGGGAAAGATCAAAGCTTTGGCCGTCACGCGCTCCTCGAGTTCATACTGGCTGGGAAAGACCACTAACGACACTTTGCAGCGTGTCTACGGTATCTCGTTCCCGGATAAGAGTAAAATGAAAGAGTGGAAGCACTTTCAGGCTGAGGCTGCGAAGCGTGACCACCGTCGTCTCGGTGTGAGCGAGGAGCTTTTTTTCTTCCACTCGTTGAGCCCTGGCAGTGGCTTCTGGCTGCCGCATGGTTCTGCTATCTACTTTAAGCTGCTCAAGTTTATTCGGGAGCAATATCGCGAGCGCGGATACACTGAAATCATCACGCCTAACATTTTCAACATGGAGTTGTGGAACATTTCGGGTCACGCCCAGCACTATAAGGATAACATGTTTGTGTTTGATGTGGAGGGACAGGAGTACGCACTGAAACCTATGAACTGCCCAGCTGCTTCGCTGATGTTCGACTTCCGTCAGCGGTCGTACCGTGAGCTGCCCATCCGTTTGGCAGACTGTGGCGTGCTACACCGTAACGAACTGAGTGGTGCCCTAACGGGCCTCACGCGTGTGCGTCGCTTTCAGCAGGATGATGCTCACATTTTTTGTCGCGACGATCAGATCAAGAAGGAAGTGCTAGATTTTCTCACTTTTATGAAGTACGTATATGACGTCTTTGGCATTAAGTTCAATCTGGAGCTCTCGACGCGTCCCGAGAAGGCTATGGGCGAATTAGAACAGTGGGAGCGAGCTGAAAAGCAGCTTGCTGAGGCTCTTAACGAGTTTGTTGGCGCTGGCAAGTGGGTGGTCAACCCGGGCGATGGTGCTTTCTATGGCCCTAAGATCGACATCATGATCACAGACGCGCTAAAGCGTCAGCACCAGTGTGCTACGGTGCAGCTTGACTTCCAGCTGCCCATCCGTTTCAATCTGAAATACCGTACGGACGACGCAGACAACTTCAAGCGTCCGGTGATCATTCATCGTGCCATCTACGGATCGCTGGAGCGATTTGTTGCTGTCCTGGTAGAACACTACGCCGGCAAGTTCCCGTTCTGGCTATCACCGCGCCAGATCCTTGTCGTCACGGTGGGCGCTGCGTTCATTGAGTACGGCTACGAGGTCAAGGACGCAATGTTCCGCGCCGGATTCGATGTAGATATCGATGACACGGGCAAGACGCTGAACAAGAAGATCCGTGAGGGTCAGATGGCCCACTACAACTTTATTTTGGTGGTAGGCGCACACGAAAAGGAGGCACGCTCCGTTAATATTCGTACCCGTGACAACAAAGTGACGGGCACCAAGACGTTGGAGGAGGCTATTGCCATGTTTAAGGATCTGGAGATGACCAAGGCGAGTGAGGAATAAGCAGTGGAGGGAGTTACTCCCATGTATGGTGTTCACTCTTCTTTGGTAGCCACTTTTCGGCTATAGCGGGTATTTTTCATTTGTAACTTAGAGCTAAAGAGCTTGTTACAGTTGTGTCACCGTAATCAAATGTGAAATTTGCCGATTAAAATTTACTTTAGGTAATTCTAATTTTGTTTGCAAGTGTAGAACATTATTTTGAGGTAATTTAAATAACGCACATATCCTATAAAGTCCTCTATTTTTATAATCTATATCTAGATAAATGTATCTTGTAAGGTAAGTAGTTCCGTGTTGGTGGCAATAACATTGTAGCGTTGCGAACCATGCTCTCGAGTATCGACGTGGACTGTAGTACTCAATACAAACTCGGCGTTTATAATCGTCTAATGGGCGCTTACCAAAGCCGAGAATAAAGTTCAGTCATAGCGTAATTATGATCAATTGACTGACGTGAGACAACATAAGTCGAAAAACAAAACGAAACTATCCACTACTTCAGTTGACTTGCAAGAATCTTTTGCTTGCTGTCAGACACTCGCACAGCAAACACGTCTCGAGCTCAGAAAATCAAAAATGCCACGGTTGTGACTATAGCTAAACGAGATAATTACATCTTGACAAAAGATAACGTACGTTGGCTCTATTACTTTGGTAAGAACAAACTGACCGACTTCCTCTAACTTCAACTTGTTATCTTCAAGCAATGTTCGCCCGTTTATGATCATTCTACTACATTCGACCAATAAGCACGAGTTACGGCTGCTTGTCACTCGTGGCACGACTGGCACAACCAGTCGGTTGCAGTAGCAAAGGCGATTATCGACACGCAATTTGCAGACGTCACTTGATTGGTCCATGACTTTTGCCAGTCAAATTTATAGTCCCGTCCTAACTCTCTCCCAAATCATTTTGTATTTTACGCCCTAGGTCCTACAACCTCTGCAAATTATTATGACGGACGTTTTGTATGCGTCCGTAAAACAGGACGATCTTGAGGACGGAATCGCTAGTCGTATCTTTTCTCCTGGTCCAGACTATGACGAACGTCGTGTCCTAATCAAGAAATTTGTATGTCTGTCATTCGTCATTACGCCGTATTTGGTCCTATTTGCTCTATTTATTGGTGTAGGAAGTCCCAAGAGCTCCACTAACAGCACTTTCATCCATCATAATAATGTCTCCCTAGTGACGAATCAGACACAGATGGATCAGATCTGTGCAAACCAACGCCTACAAAAGCTCGAGCTTCAACGCAATGTCTACTACGATTCATCACTCCTTTCTCGCTCACAACGATACGCTGCAGTACAACAAAAGGGTGCAACTTTATGGTTTACGGGTCTATCCGGTAGTGGCAAAAGTACAGTGGGACGTGCACTGGAGAAACAATTATTACAACGTCGTATACATACGTATCGACTTGATGGTGATAATGTTCGCATTGGATTAAATCGTGATCTGGGGTTCTCGGAGACGGATCGAGCAGAAAGTGTGCGACGTGTGGGAGAAATGTCGGCACTTTTTAGTGAAGCAGGTGTGATTACACTTGTTGCTTTGGTTTCGCCTTTTCGTGCTCGTCGTGATGACGTGCGAGAGCTTCACAAGAAAATGAATATTCCATTCTATGAGGTATTTGTTGATGTGTCCGTGTCCGTGGCTGCTGATCGTGACGTTAAGGGACTGTATAAACGTGCCATGAAGGGAGAAATTAAGGACTTTACAGGAATCTCGTCACCTTATGAGGAACCACTGAATCCAGAGATTCATCTTAATACTTCAAGTCAATCACTTGAGGACGAGATTAAGATGATTTTGGACAAGTTAGAAGCAGAGGGATTGCTTACTGGAGTAACAGATCTACCCCTTGGATACCCTGGTGTCGCGGTAGCTGATGGAGGCAACGCTGTTGCTACATTTCCAGTGTTATTCCCAGATCAGCCACATTCCTCATATCCGGACAATTATGACACGTTGCCTCGTGTGCTCCTGCGTGATGAGGATGTACATTGGCTACAAGTCATTGGCGAGGGTTGGGCTGCGCCTCTGCGTGGCTTTATGCGCGAAGGTGTCTACTTGCAGTCTCTCCACTTCAGCAGCGTGCTATATGACACGGACAACCTTACTGATGGCCAGTTGGCTCTCCATAAATCCACTAACTTCTCAGAATACTCAAATGAATTCGTGTCAAAGGGTCAGCGCGTAAACATGCCAGTGCCCATTGTACTCCCGATCAACGATGCTGCGAAGAAGATTATTGGCGAATTTAAGCAAGTGGTACTCGTGAGCCCGTCGGGTGAAGAGCTTGCGTTGCTGACTGACCCTGAAGTCTACGATCATCGCAAAAAAGAGCGCATCACACGCACGTTCGGTGCCATGGACAACGGTCATCCGTACGTTGCTGAGATTTTGAAGTCGGGTGAGTACTTGCTAGGTGGCGAGATTGAGCTGCTATCCCGCATTAAGTATAACGACGATCTGGATCAATATCGCCTGACTCCGACGGAATTGCGTAAGCGCTTTGAAGAAATGGGTGCCGATGTTGTGCTTGCTTTCCAAACGAGAAACCCAACTCACGCTGGCCATGCATACCTGATGAATAACGCACGTGAGCAGCTTATTGCGCAGGGCTACAAGAACCCTGTGCTGTGGCTGTCTCCTCTTGGTGGCTGGACGAAAGAGGACGACGTGCCTCTTGATGTGCGTGTACGTCAGCATGAAGCGATTCTGCGCGACGGCATGCTGAACAAGAAGAGTACTGTACTTGCCATCTGGCCTTCTCCGATGATTTATGCTGGCCCTCGCGAGGTGCAATGGCATGCAAAAAGCCGTAAGAACGCCGGAGCGAGCTTTTTCGTCGTCGGACGGGACCCTGCTGGTATCAAGCGCTCCGATGGCGATAAGGGCGACATTTATGCCGGCGACCATGGTCGCTTCGTTCTTCACATGGCTCCTGGAATGGAAGATTTTAACATTCTGTCGTTCTCGAAGGTGTACTACGATGTCCAGGACCACAAAATGAAGCCGATGGACAGCAGTCGTAAGCAGGATTTTCTATCGATCTCGGGCTCGCGTATGCGGAATATGGCGCGCGAAGGTTTGCAAAAGTGCGAAGGTGATAAAATTCCTGCTGGCTGGGAAGACAAACCGACATGCGTTCCACAGGGATTCATGGTCAAGTCTGGTTGGGACATCATGATTGATTACTACCAAAATATCGACAGCTCGCGCTGGATCCCATTTGCCACGCAGTTCTCGAAACCTGTCGTGGATTCTACGCGTTTTTTCTCGTCAGAGGGTACATTCGGTCGCACTGACTACAAGCTCTACTTCAAGAACGACAAGGGCGAGAAAATCTCTCCGTGGCACGACATTCCGCTCTACTTGACAGACTCGAAGGACAATAGCTCGTACAATTTCATTGTCGAGATTCCCAAGGGTATTGCACACAAAATGGAGGTGAACAAGGAGGCCCGGTACAACCCGATCATGCAAGACACGACCCACAACGGCACTCGTGGTCGCGACTACTTGTACGGTGTGCCATTCTTCAACTACGGTCTGTTCCCGCAGACTTGGGAAGACCCAAGCGTGAAGGACGAAAAAGGTAACGACGGTGACAATGATCCGTTGGACGTTATCGAGATCGGTGCGAAGCAATTGCCAATGGGCTCAGTGAATCCAGTCAAGATCCTGGGTAGTCTGGAGCTCGTTGATCAGGGCGAGGTCGACCACAAGATTCTAGTGATTTCCCTCTCTGATAAGGATGTTGACAAGATTAATAACGTAAGCGACTTACAGAGTGTGAAACCTGGTGTACTGGATGCGCTAGTGGACTGGCTTAAGAAGTACAAGATCCCAGAGGGCAAGTCCGAGAACTTGTTTTCCCAGGAAAAACCGACGTCTGCAGAGGCCGCCATTCAGATCGTGGCAGACACGCACGAGCGATGGCAGAAGCTCAAGACAGGAGAGATTAGTGTCAAGGACAAGTTCTGGCTTAATTAGGTTTGTCAACTGAATTACTAAGCTCGATGTATGGGAACGTAGCTCAACTTATTAAATGAATTATTTGCAATGTCTGAATAGGTTTGCGGTGGCGTGAGGCGATCGAGTCGCCACGGTTCACGATCGCTTTATGAGCAGATCGCAGGTGTGGCGGCGTTGACATCGACAATGGTGGGGCTTCGTGTTGACTGCGCCGCGTTCAACTCACTTGCTAGTTGATGTTCCAGTGAAGCGAAAGCAGCCCTTCCTGAAGTGACTAGCGCGATGATTGCATCTGTCCCCCGTCCTTAGTCGTGCTTACTACTGAAGCATTGACCGTAAACACCTAAGAGAGACGAGTTGCAAGCAGTGCGTCGTTCCACCAGATATCCCGGTGGTGAATGTAGGGAACGTCACCTTTGAAGCCACTGAAAAGCACTCCATTTGTACAGTTTCTGGTTGATTACCTGTTGCAACATGCGGACAAAGGCCAAGTGCCGTTGGTGCTAAGTCGCAGGTATGAGGACAATAAGTGGCGGATGTTGGCCAAGCAGCTTCAATGTGTGAGTGGCGTTGGGGGTGATCGCGTGACAATGGGAGCTGCTAAAGTAAAGGAACTAGGTGGGGAAGCAGCACCATTGACTTGTGTTGTGCTATACGGATTGCAGCAATGACGACATGCAAAGGACCTGGAGATTGTGATGGTGGACGCTCTGCATCCGCAGAGCAACGACTTGCTACTTCCATGTAGGAGTCTGCGGGAGATGCTTTTGTGAGGGCCGACGTGGTGATTGTACATCACTCAAATTTACAGGAGGATGAGCGCGTACGCGTGCTGAGTGGAGATAAAGCATTTCCTGATCATCACGCGTTCACTCCAAATAATGTACACGATATTTTCAAGCGATCACGTGAGCACAAGGAAAGTTTAATCGACGGAGAAAAATTTAGCTTGTTTACAGTCGCTCTACCCTTGCATCTTCGTGCTGCTTTTGTGCGCTTAGACATCTACAGCACCAAACCGGCCACCACCCATACCGTCGGAATCATCTACAACTTTTCCGACCCCAGTGGCTTTCTCTGTCTACTACCACGCACCTGCCCAAGTAGACGTAATGTAAAAGAACTGTAACAAAATCTACTACATGACGGACATGAATTGTAACAGCTTTTGTTACAGTTCGTTTCGTGTCGGCATAAGTCAACACGAAACGAAACGAATCATGAAGCGAAATGTATTAGTCCATTAGGATGGATTTCTGAGGCGGATACAGCGCTGCCCGCTGTTCGTCTTTGTCGAGCTGAGACGCAGCGTAAGCGAAACTTGTTGAACACAATTTCATTAGTGTGTTTAACAAGTTTCGCTTACGCTGCGTCTCAGCTCTGTGGCCTTCGTGAAAGAAACGAGTACGTATCTAGCTAGGACAAGTAGATACGCGACTTGTCCTAGCTAGATACGTACTCGTTTCCTTCACGAAGGCCACAGTTTCCGAATTGTAGCAACGTTTGTCCTTTGGCTCAGATTCGCATAAGACATCTCGATGGCGTTGTACTGTACAACGGCGTTTTGTACAATACGACGCTCGTCACGATGCAGTAAAGAACTAGCACCATCACCACTGTCGGAGAGCGACTATCGATTGCGTTGTCGCTCGTCGACAACGGCGAACGGAGGCGTTCCTGACGCCCATGTCAGGTCCCACAGCGCCTGTTCCCATTAAACAAGGCGTGTCTGGTGGAGGAGACACGTTTCCACGCTTCGAAAAAGAGACTATTCTCTTTGTCGTGGGCGTAACAAATAAGGACGATGGCCGAAGACAACAGAATAAGTATGTACATTCGCGAGTGCAGCGTCTCACAGACAAAGCAGTTGAAGCAATAATAAACTTTTTTGCAAGTCAACAATTGATGACCGACGCCAAACTGTCTTCATTGGAATACATTATGGAGAGTACACTTAACTGCTCGAAGATATTAAAGGTTTGGCATTAAGCGTGGAAAGATGTCAGCGAACAGTTCAACACATATCACATTGTTTGCAACTGCCTAACACAAAGAGTGGCAAAGTCAACTGCTTTATCTGTGAGACGATGCACTCGCGAAAAATGTACATATTTGTTCTGTTGTCTTCGTTCAACGTCCTTGTTCGCTTACGCACAAAAGTCCTTTGCATGAAGTTGTTGAAGCGCCAACGACGACGAAAGTCTTTTTACTGGCAAAGGAACAACCAAGAGTGAATCAGAAAAAACAGAGATTAGGAAGTGCGAACTCGTCGCAGATTTCACCACGCGAAACAATCTATCACTCATTTTCATTCCATGAAAGGAACATGGCATACCGGAAACCATATGATCTTTACGACTCAATTCTAAGCGATCAGGCAATGATGGAGGAGGTATTAGAGCTGTTGGGGTCGGATAGCACAAGCACCGGCCACGAGAAAAAGCTTACAGCAACTTTCAACAATAACCGAGATGCAGTTTGCAATGAAGTCGCTAATGAAAATGAGTTACTGGGTTGGGATGAAGAAAAGTACCCGAGAAAACAAGAGCAAGATCTACCACGAGACCAAACTCAATCGACGATGGAAAGCTTAATGTACGCTTTAAACATCTTATTGTCTATGTGGACATGAAAGAAAAACAAGAGAGAAGTTTGACCTGTTGAAAGATCTCAACTCCTTTTTTTACTATGCATTAGTAGGCCAAGCACCCCTATGCACCTTACCGAGGCTGCGTCGAAGAGTCCTTCACTGCTGCCCCAGCAATTTTTGTAAGATACTGTGTCATCACTCGAGTGTTCGTTTTTCTAAGTGTTGTTTTTCTTGTGCCGACATCACTTAGTCATGGTGCTGTCCCACAACCGTTTTCTGCCGAACCTTGCTTTGTCAACTTTACAGCTGCACCGGAATCGCGTCAAAGCTTGCGAGCTCCTGTTCAAGAGAATATGATAGTACGAGAAACAGTTACTGCTGACCCTATTCCAATATCTCCTCCAGCTTCAATACTTCACCATACTTTGCAAGATTCGCAGCCGCTAAGTAAAAGCGCTACGTTGGTCACGCACCTAAACTCGGAGAGTAACGTCTTACCCACTGGTCAACGCATTCGCGTTATCAATCCTGACGAGTTTGAAGAACTCCGACGAAAGGTGCAGATGCAGACGGCTTCACGTCGTTATCGTAAACGCAAGAAGGCAAGTTAAAACGAGGCAAAGATGGCGACATCGTCTACAATGCTAATGATCTATTGCTGATGCGCAGGAGGCAGCTCGATACAAAAAGATGCATGTGCAGGAGCTCCAGAAAGAGCTTTCTCGGTTGCAATACATGGAAGCACAGACGAAACAGTACCAGCAACGCTCGGTTGAGTCGTTGCAACAGGAGCTTAAGATGCATCAAGCCGAAGTGGCTGACCTCAGTGGCAAAATTGAGGACGCAACCAGAAAAGAGCTTGACTGGATAGCGCACTTGCCCCTATGATTTCTATCGTCCCCTTATTTTTTGTCGACATTATATCTACCCTTGTGTTACGGTTTCCAAGGTTTAATCAGTCCAGTACAATTAGGCAAGCGACAACGCTGCAATGAACATGTTCTCATCTTAAACCCTTTCGAAAGGTTACATCGAATTTTCTTACATGTTCTCGAAACGTTTTTCTAAAACTGTCACGATCGTGCACATCGGATCAACAAGTGCAGTGTCAGGAACTACTAGGAGCAAGATGAAGAAAAGTAGCCAGTAGTCCAGACAAATCGATGAGAACGACCAGACTTGACTCAGCAGTAAACACTTTTTGAATGTAGGCCAATCTCACAGTATAATTACTATTTAATCTGTAATTTCATCTTAACGGCAGGGGCGGCACTTAGATCGGACAGACATCGAAAGGTTAGTTGAACGCCTAAATGAATCGACAATCGACTTTACATGTGTGCTACAGGATAAAGGACGCCAATCGTGCGCGCAAGTCTGCTGGCAGAAGCTTATCTGCCACTGAAAAGGAGAACCTAAAACGTAACACAGTTTCCATCAGCAAGACGAATTGGGCCACGCGCTGCTTGAACCCTTTATTATCTACCCCCTTCGCTAACTCAATTGTGCACGCATGCAGTATAGCGAAGCAAACGCTCAAAGTCGATGGCACACTAGAATTGGTACCTCCAAGCAGTAAGAACAAAGCAAGCACAACACGAAAAGGAATGGTAGTGGGAAAGTTGCGGCAGACATGGTACCTCGATCGTCGACGATCTGCGAGAATACTAACGAGGAGCAACAGGCGTCAATTCGGGCCGTATAGAACATCGATCCCATCTGAGAGTGGTTCCCTGTCGAGTCCCTCCTTGGCTGACCTCGCTAGAAAGGGCACACCCTCTTAGTGTATCGTCGGCTCTTCTTGTAAAGACTTGATAGATCGTTGCTCGTATGTCTTCACTCAGTTTTGATGCTGTGAAGCGAGACAACCATTCTTGGATCGGGATCTGTTGTTGGCGTCCTTCATCCTGAAAGAGAGAGCGGCAGACGAGTCCATTAAACCTTTAATGGTTGCAGGATGTCTGGTAGATCCTAAGCCTGGTTAGCAACGCCGGTTCCTCGTTCGAGTCCGGTGATTGTACGGGGCGTGTCATCTGCAGTGCCGGCTCTCGGGGTTGTCTGGCTATGATACGTTGACACAGCATCAGACGGATCCTCATATTTTTGTGTCGGCCCACCGGCACTCTCGCTTCGCTATGGCTCGAAGTTGCCTCATGCTGGTTTTTCACACGCTACCGGCGATGGTGCTGAAACTTTACTCGGTTGCGTTGTATCCACAAGCTAGTGATGCAAATGCTGCTCGGGATGTGCCATAGGCGTTCAGACACGGCGGTGTATGCGGCTCCCTCGTCTGGGTGGTGTCTGAAGAGCTGTTTCTGGATCACCTTGAATAGTCCTAGTGCGTGTCTGCCTGCACTGTTTGCACAAAAGCACTGTACCACCTTGAATAGTCCTAGCGCGTGTCTGCCTGCACTGCACAAAGACACTGGACCAGCCGTCCAAACTACCATTGTTCTCCTTACCAGTGGCAGATGAGCTTCTGCCAGCAGGCTTGCGCGCAAGGGCATGTCCAGCATATGTGTTTCAGTGTTTCTTTCACTCCTTCGCAGCATTGGAGCTTACGGCAACTGTTATCGTGCCCTCGGTCTTAATGAAAGAGATTCACTGCTACTCTATAAACAACCCACGATGCCTCTCTTTTCGCACTTGCACTGTCTAAGTAGAGCGATCGTCACAATACAACGGGCCGACCGTAAACATGCTCTTCATGCAGAGTGCTGCAGTAAGTTCCAAGTGCTGCCTTCAAAATAACCTCCCACCACGAAAAGGCGTGAATCAACTTGACAAAGACACTTTACGCTTCATTTTCACCAGCTGCGCCTTCCAAAAAATTTCTTAGGCTGCAGATCTGGTCATCTTGGCCTCGTTGCAGCGCCCATCTCAATGCTACAAGTTGACGAGCGGTCTCTTTTCGGAAGACGAGCCGGCAGCCAAACCTTCAAGCATCTGAGCGCGACGTTATCTTGTGCGTCCCAATCCTCCTAGCATCATATCGGAGGTTCTTGCGTAAAAGTGAGGATTCCGATCAGTCCAGCTAAGCTTCCACTCTGCCATCAGCACATACCTCAGTCGACCACTTTCGATTCTGCACAAATCCTCGCAGGTCTCGACCGACTAAACGCTATGAGCTGCTTATCTACCAAAAGTGCCGTCGGCGACAAGCGCCGCTTCCCTTTGCGTGCCATCGAGCGCTTTGGTATCGCCGAACCTGATGTGTCCGTCAAATGCTGTCACGCTATCGCTATCAGCGGCGACATGGACCAACTAATGCGATTCCTACCGACTGCCGTTATGCGGACATTCAATCGGCATCCGCGTCTGCGTGCATTGGTTGTCCAGGACAAGAAGTTCATGGGTGAAATTCAACCACCCATTTTACTGGACGACGTTGACGCCAAGAGACTTTTGCGGGTTCGTGAAATCTCCGACTCACCGGAAGACGTTAAGGCCTGGACAAACTGGAATGAGTTTGTGCAGACGGAGACTCACATTCCGTTCGACCGCTTTACGCAGTTCATGTTTTACCTCACGGTTTGGGTAAACAAGGCAGAGGGCAAAGCTCGATTCTTTCTTTTCTCGGACCACGTCATGTCGGACGGAGACTCGGGTCAAATCTTCGTCAACGATACACTGGAGGACATCGCACTGCTTTCGATTGAGGCAGCAAAGCCAGTGCACGAGCTTCCATTGCGTATGTCGCTCTATGACATGTGGTTCACGGGTCCCTGGTGGCTTAAGCCTCTGGCTAGGACCATGCTGGCGCTCGTTGGCGGTTCGGCTTTCGTCAAGTTTATGAAGGTGTTCAAACCCGTGCTAACCCCTCGCGAGGACCAGAAAGACTTTGGTGTCCCATTTGAGCAGAACAGTACGACTCTGCTGAGCAAGGCGGGTAATCCATCCAATATGCGTGACACGATGCGAAAGTGCAAAGAGGAGGGTGTCACGCTTGGAGGGGCTCTCATTCCGATGCTCGTACTAGCATTCTACCACGCTAGCCGCGTTGAGCGCAAACTTAAGGGCGTTGATGAGACCGACGGTCCGTTCCGCTTTGTGGCGGACATGTGCTACAACATGCGTCGACGTGTACCTCAGCCTGCTGAGGAGAGGCAGGTGGGTCTGTACGTGACCAACACCCCCCTCCAGTGGCTGGCTACTGAGGGCGTCAACATGAAGACCGTAAAATTCTGGGATCTCGCTCGCACCTCAAAGAGGCAGATGGAAGCTCAGAGTGATAAGCTTCTGGAGATGGCGTTACCGTGCTTTTTGATGGATCGCAAGCTCATCAAGCCCAAGGTGGGCAAGTTGCTCGGTGACTTCAAGATCCCGAGCTCGTGCACGGGTGACGCTACTATTTCCAGCCTCGGACCCTATCTCTACAAGCAAAAGCACATCCTGGCCTCCAATGGCGTGTTGGAAGTGAAGGACATGTTCGCCTTCTGCGCTATCCCATTCGTGGCCACGTCATCAACGATTTGGCTTACGTCCGTCACCTCTTTCAACTATTCGTTGGCTCACAAAGTGGATGAGAAGGTTGGAAACGAGCTATTCAATGCTTACGTCAAGATCTGCGAAAATGCTAGCTGCATTAACAAGGAGGACACGATGGAGGATGTGCTTAAGCGTCTTGTTATTGAAGCTTAGGTTTGTGTCTGTATTATGTAACGAGTCCTTTTTATGTACTGCAGAGGCGATACATATCATTGTATCATTATTAGAAAATTACATGCGCACTTAACGTCTGGTGTGTTGATTTTACTCGTTTATTCATTCAGTATTGTCGTGTTGTAACAATTATAAACGTGTCATCAATGGGAGAGTCAAGACCAGCTATAATTAGAAGCTGTCAAAGCTTTAGAAACCACATTTAAAACCGTTTAAACTTACTAAAACTCACCTGAAGTCGGATTGTTCGTCGTTTAATCTTTGGTGCACTGGCAAGTGTCTTTCCCTCGTCGTGATTCTCAAATCGCAGTAGTTTTATCCATCCCATTACAGCGTCTTGCGTGCCTTCTCTCTCTCTCTCTCTCTCTAGTTCATGACCTTTTTACCTCTACTAAAAGACAGTAATCGCCTAATCAGACGGTCGATCTGATACCTCTCAAACTACCGACGCTGCTGCCACACTACAACGTTCCCTCCCCGTCTCGAAGCAACAATTCGTACTGTCGCATCTTTACTGATACATACTATACAATTGTAATGTCGTCGTCCTGATGCTCTCAACTCTTGGACTGTTGCATTCATTATTCTCTGCCCAAGAGGAGGTCGACATGATGTATACTACGGATAAAAAAAGTGGTAGAGAAATGTAGTTTGTATACATCAATCTATACACTGTATAGCCGTTGTTACGTTGCAGCTAGGATGACTCATATGGCTACATTTCTATCAATAAGTCTTCTTTATCCCTGTCAAACTTGATATCGTCGTTTTACTTCGGGTAGTCTCGTGATTGACGTCCTGTTCGCACTGTGCACCTTCTCCCTTCGTGTCTTGTCCTTCTCGTGTTGCTACACATTCATTTCAATCTCTTGACACCTTGACCATCTCTCTCCGTTCTCTGTAGCGTCCTTAAGCTCATAAGTAAGCCACGTGTACCCTCTTTTTGGTACAATTGTGACACTGTAGCCATGTCACGTCGTCGAGAGAGTAATTTGACGCTGAACGACGATGAAAAGGACGTAACTTTGGAAATTGAGACTCTTGAACAACCTTGGATGACGATTGAACTCTTTGAAACTTTGTGGCTTGATGCTACACAACAAGTGAGTTCCAGCTGCACGTTTACGATGTTCAAGCAGTCGAGACTCAAGATCACAACAGGAGACTCGACTAGTCATCAACTGAGTCCAGTACAGACAAGAGAAGACAATACAGAGATCAGTACCGATGCCGAGAATTTCCAGCATCAATTTCTTCAGATATTGGGCAATGATATTGTCATTTTTCCACAGAAAGTTGGACATTCTGACACGAAAAAGACATTTGTCGTATGTGCCTATGCAAGTGTTGTGAATCAATCTACAGTGAAGACGGTACTACTGGTGAGAATGGAACAATTGTATGATTCCGAGCAGATTGGAATCACCGTGAAGAGTACGGACCCTGTGCATCGGACGTGGATGACGGCATTTTTAGGGATTTTGCAACAACGGATTCAACCAGGCAGTGCACCTCGAAGACCACAGCCGAGAAGTGCAGACACGAGCAGATTGTTTCTAGAAGAAGTCGAACATGAAGGAAATACGGACTCGGACTCGTCGTTTTCAGTGACACCACCGGTACGGACACCACCATCCTCCTCCTCGGCTTGTGTGCAGACGCCTACATCGGCGACAGTGGAAAAACTGATGACGGTACCACCACGTCCTGTGGAACGTGGACGATCGCATACGATTCGATATCGGACGGATCGGGACATTTCATTTGAAGGGTATGTGAGCAAGAAAAGTGACGTGCTTGTAAGCTGGAAGGCAATGTATTGCGTGCTAGAGGAAGACACGCTTGCATTTTACGAGACGCGAGAGGAATTTATTTCGAATACGAAACTTATTGGTCGGATTCAGCTGCAGGCCATCGAGGACGACGAGATGGGGAAACCCAACGGGTTTCGTGTGATTGCGGAAGGCAACCACATTAACCATTTGAGCTCGCGAACTGCGTTTGAAAAAGAGCAGTGGAAGCGAGCGATTAGTGTAAGTTGGGCTTACGGATGTACATTGGGGCGATCTTGGAGAAGCTGACATGTAATCTTTGTTTTCTTGTGCTAGATTGCTATTTCCAAAGCACCGGAGGTAGCGCGTCCGTATGTGGCGTTTGCGTCGCAGCCATTAGAGCCGCATAAATTCTATCGACTCTTAGGTGCACTACTGTGCCAAGAAATTGGTGATTTTCCGCTTCTCTTTCGGAGCATGCACCCAGACGTAGTCGTGACGTCGAATTTTCCTCCGATTGTGCCGTTTTGGGGGCAATACCGTCGGTATGATGGTGTTCTGCTGTTCATTTCCACGCTCTTAGATACGGTTACGGTGGATAATTTTTCGCTTCTGGAGGTAATTGAGCTGGTGCGCGGTGACGCAGATTGTATCGACGACACTGGCGCTGAAGCTCTCTCGCCTTCCCCGATCGCGGCTGACTCATACGTGTTGTCCCCCCATACGACGGAGGCATTGGTATCAACTCCTATCAGTGCGTCAACACCATCATCGCAATGGACAAGGCGCCTCGTGGTCACAGGGAAGGAGACGTACAACCTGCTTAACACAGACAACCGGCGGGTAACACAGCTTTTTGTACATGAGCTGTGGTTAGATCACAAAGACCGCTTGGTGCGGTGGCATCTGAATGGCGACGCTGTCGCACTCTCAGTTGCATTTGATGATGCCCCGCGAGGAGAAAACATTCGGCTTGTGTTGCCTGGCGAAGCGTCTGCAATCTCTCACTCGATTCCGCCAGGAACGTTTTACGTACAGATCTTGCAGGCTCAGCAGCTGCATATTGGTGAAGGTGGAAACGACAACGCATTGAAAGGGAATGCTCAGAAGTTTTCAGCCACCCCTACTTCAAAAAAGAGCTACCCAGTGTATGCACGATGTATCCTGGAGGAAGGAAATCATATGGAACAAACGTTGCGTGGCCTGGATGTCAAGAAAGGGGAACGTGTACTTGACGAACTTGCTACTTTGTCGCAGAATGGATCGACGAAGGAGACCCGCCGCCCTTCCAAGGGAACTCGTTTTTTTCGTGGATTAAAACGTGCTGCTGGAATATCTGGAGAACGAGCTGTTGCAACATTTGGCGATCCAAGTGGATGCGTTACGAATATTTGCAAGTGCATACCAGATGTGACTCCGGATGGCCACCATAAAATTGGGACACTAAATCCTAACTGGTCCAGTAATCTTCGACTGGAGTTTCCGGGCTGTGCCCAAGGCTTTACGTATTTCTTGAAGGTGGAGGTATTCCAAAGCCGCTTTATGCTCCCGGATGAACTGCTTGGTGTTTGCAAGATCAACGTCACACCACATTTATCGCTTGTTACGGGGTCTGCAGACGCCAAGGCGAACGGCGCACTGACTCGCTGGCATAATTTGTGTGACCAGTATAATGATTGCAAGGAATCGTGGGCACCACCGACAGTTTTTCGCGGACGGATCCAGCTTGGCGTCATTTTTGCTCCTTCCGTTGCTTCTGCAGAGGATTTGCCTCGATCTCAGGGACTGCGACGCATGGTAAGTGATGGAATGCTGACGGAATCCAGACGAGGTTCCGCTGACGCAATTTTGCTGCAGAGCCTTTCGAGTTATGACCTCCGCGAGTCTGTTAGGTTTGAAAAACGAGTCTTTGCTGAAACGTTTGATATTCCAAGGGGAGAGGGAGAACGATATGTATCTCGTCAAATTCGAAGCAGAATCGACACCTCTGGGAAATGTGCGAATGGTTTAATGAATGCAGAAACTGCGACAGCGACCAGCGATAGAGACTTATGTGCTTACGCGCAAAAACCACACTTTTTCAGGAAAAACGACGACTTTTGATGTCCCGAAAAAGTACCAGTTGATCAAGGTGGTGGGAGCTGGTACATATGGCGAAGTTGTTGCTGCGAGTGACGTTGAGTCAGGAACAACCGTTGCTATAAAAAAAGTCACTAACGCGTTCCAAGACTTGCCTGATACAAAGCGAATTCTTCGCGAGCTGTGTTTGCTTCGACAGCTGAGTCATCCGAACCTAATCCAGCTTTATGACGTTCCTCGGCCGGATCGTTTGTCGTATTTGGAAGACATATATCTTGTAACAGATCTCATGGAAACAGATCTACATCGTGTAATTCATTCTACGCAAACACTGACGGACGAGCACGTGGCGCACTTCATGCGTCAAATTTTACGTGGGTTGGCGTACTTGCACTCTGCGAATGTACTCCATCGAGATTTGAAACCGTCGAACATTTTGGTCACGAGTACATGCGAAGCTAAGATTTGTGACCTCGGTCTAGCACGCTACGTGGATTATTCCAAGTCAAAATGTATCCAGGAGCCGTCTTCTGATGACGGCTTTGTGGAGTTGACTGAATATGTAGTTACGCGGTGGTACCGCGCCCCCGAAATTTTACTCGATGGATGTCGGTATGACAAACCCTCCGATTTGTGGTCTGCAGGCTGCATTTTGGGTGAGCTTCTCGGCCGTAAACCGCTCTTCCCAGGGTCTAGTACTATGAACCAGCTAAACAGAATCTTTAACGTGCTCGGTACACCTGACACCTTCTACATTGCCAAAATCTACAAGGAAGCAGCACAAAAGTGGGTCCGTCGCCAACGACGGCGCTCGAAGATACCTTTTGAAGAGCTTTATTCAAACGCAAATGAACAGGCACTTGATCTTTTGGACAAGCTACTCGTTTATGACCCGAAGCAGCGCATCACTGCTGTTGAGGCTCTTAAAACACCCGTATTTGCGAGAGGCGTTTCAGTCAGGAACGGGTGACAACATTGGAGATGACGAGATGTTTTATTACAATGAAGCAGAGCAGAAAGAGGACCAGTTTGTGGGAAAAATTGACGACTCAAATGAATACGTAGCCGAGACGAAGCCAGATATGCAAAATGCGGTATTCGAACAGGTTTGCCACTTCCACCCTGAGGCGCGCGAGTACGAGGAGTGTTTGAAGAAGCAGGACGAAACGTTTTGTGTAGATCCGGAAACCGGCAAACTGGTACCTATCAGCAATTGACACCAGACATCGACCCACGACAGGTCGAGTACTTTGGAATTATCGTCTACAATCCTGCAAGCGTATTCATGGCAATGCCATGCTCACATTGTCGGTTTACATCCGTCTATTGATGCAATGGATGAAAACGATGGTGAGCGTTCTTAGCACCGTTTGTATTACGTTTGTTTTGGACGAAAAGCGAATGCAATTACGGGTCCAAATGGAGAGCTGGTAATGCAAAATAGGTGCGTCGACAGCGCGGGGCCATATGCCGCGAGTATATACCCTGCACGGAAAATGGAGTCATCTTGCGCTGAATTGCAAAGCTATACGTTAGCGCATTCTTGTTGGCATGTCCAACACTCATTAAGTTCTAATATACCGTTTGCACGGACAGTGCTGAGCGTCGATTATTATGACACTTGGCACATTTTGTAACTGCAAGACATGATGAGCAGTTCACCGGTCAAGCTGAACTTACCTATAATCGGTCTGCACAAGAAGAAGTCTGCGACCTGGCTGAGCTAAAGAAGCAGGATAGTTTCGTTGAGGAACTCTGGTATGGTGGTTAGAGAATGGAGTTGGTAAGTAGGACCTCGGATGTGGGAGAAGGATGGGAATGGATATCGAGTGTGAACGAACGTAACACGTCGTTATAGATTGAGTCCGAAAATGGCACTCAGAAATTTCTGCCCATTAGAGTATAAATTCGCCATCGGAGCAGCTGAAGCGCTCAGCACCCCAACAAAGCAAGGACGCAAGCAACAAAACGGAACTGATCGAAGCACAAGGTCCACAACACGTCCATTTCTAAGTGCAGTTCTCACGCTTGTCGCAAATGACATCTTCCGTTTCTGGATGATACCGTGCATCTTGCACAAATGCTGGTCAATCGCGTCAATCGATTGCAAACTCGGCATTGGTGCTACATCTGCCCCATAACGCTTGGAAGGCTGCTAATATCTGAGCCGCACTCTTTGCATCTCGTGGCAGCTCCTTTCACAAACTCTTTGCAGAATGGACATTGTTTCTTCACACCCACCTTAAGTTTGAAGACGAGCTCAAGAGCTGAAGAGCAAGAAACAGAAATGACAAGTTAGTCGACCATGTCGACCGGATCAAGTATTTGGTTTGTCTACCTTTCTTCACGGCACAGAAGAGAAAGATGGCGTTAATGAAGAAGTTCATGATGTTCTCGAGAAATAATCCATAGTTGATAGTCACGGCACCGGCGTCACGAGCTACAGAAAAAAGGTTGGACAGGTGAGATATTCCTTGAAACGTCAAAATGGATATGCCGTACCTTCCTTCCAAGTTTGCCACGAGTCACTAGAGCATCCACGTGTAGTCGACGGGCATCGAAGAAGCCAATAGTGGTTAGCAATCCCTCGAGCTGGACATTCATCACCTGCAAGTCAGTATTGCACTTTTGCTGGAGGAGTGGTCGTTTTACCTGTGAAAAGGCTGATGATCGGCGACAAGATGTCGACAACTAAAGAGTTAAGGATACTGGAGAAAGACGATCCGAGAATTAGACCCACTGCCATGTTGAGCATATTGCCCTGCTGAATAAACTCTTGGAAGTCAGTGAGCAACGCACGAGTTGAGACCAACTTTTGGTTTACCACCATTTGCACGCGACCAAGCAGCGAAGCATTTTCGGACGGTGAAGGTGATGCCGTGAATGGATTCCGATGCATCAGAAGATAAGGATTATACCACGGGAGGAACAAACACATGCAACACTTTTGGCTCAGTCGGCATAGAGCTCTCAAAGTATCCGACAGGTGTTTTCCATGGTGACATTTAACTTGGTTGACGTGATTGTACTTGATCATCATCATCAATAGAATCCAAAGCGTTCGGACGGCTTGACATTTATCCTATGTGCCTTCAGATTCTCCAACGGACCAAGCTTCTTCGCTTTTTACGCGACTGCTTTAGATATGGGTGGATCAGCCGAGGCTCACAGGTTTCTTGGTCGCTAGTGTCCAAGTAGTCATCCCAATCTTGAGTAATTACAAAGGTCGTAGCACACACACCGTCGTGTGACGGCATCAAAGCAGTGGCAGAGTAGAACAGCGAACGTTATCAAGCTGCAAGCGCCATAACGACATCTTTATCCTCTCTACGATGTGCTTGCGACTGACATTCTTGTCGAATCGGGTTGTCATTCATGATGCGTTTGATATCAATGAGCACCTTCGTAGAGATCATCAGATCCTCGCGACTCCAGACAAATGCTTCTTATATATTGTCTCTACCCAGCACTTCTTCAGCCTGTTCATACTGTACAAGATCAAAGCTGTCAAAGAAACAATAGGATAAACTAACACTAGCAATGATACAATAACTCTGTACCCATTAAATGCTTAAAGCCCCACCTCATGTCTTCAACTATAACATATGACAGACGGGGCGTGTCTGAACTGACTCGATTAAGTCTCTCGGACACTACCCCGTCTATGCAACACTGCACATAGGACTAGGGAAAGAGCCAGTAGAAATATCAACCAATCATCATACGCTAAATAAATACTGGGCCAGTCAATACATTCATTCTGCTTTTTTCTCTACCGTGTCCTCTAATGGTGCACACTCCTATGGGCAACGTAACCGACCAGGCGTTTCCTCCTCGTCCTAGTGATGCATCCTCATGCTCTTTTCATGTTCCTCAATCTGGTACTACATGTACGACTAAACCACAGAAATACATGGTACTGGAAAGCACGACCACGAACTACCCATTACGTGAACACTGGGACGAGAGTGTTGGTCACGGTGGGCGTCGGCTTCTTCGCACGTTCCAGCAACATGCTTTGCATTGTTTTTGCAACCATATGTCGCTGTGGGAACGTACACAGAAAGTCCAGCGTGAAGTCAAAGATTCAAGTGTCTTTTATTGGCAGCATTTGCTCATTTTTCAACGGGAGATTCTATGTGGTGTAGCTGCTATGCTCTTGATGATGCCAGAGACCGTAGCATTTAGTTATGCCGCCAATTTAGATCCATTGAATGGATTATATGCTACAGGTTTTCTTGGGATTGCGATAAGTCTATTTGGTGGTGTTCCAGCTACGGTAGCAGGTGCTGCAGGAGCTGTAGCTATGGTCATGCCTCCTATTACCAGTGGTACAGGATCTTTATCGTACTTGACGTACGAAAAACGATTGCAGCATTTATTTGTTGCTGTGACCATTGCGGGAATACTGGAGCTTTTCTTTGGAATCTTGGGCCTTTCCAAACTCTTTTCGATGATCCCTCGGACAGCACACATTGGATTCTTAAATGGCTTGGCTCTTATGATGTTTATTTCACAAAAGACAACTCTTGAAGAATGTAAGAATGATACGATGCGTTTTGGAGAGTGTGAGATTGCAGGTGAGCTCAAATGGATGAGCGTGTCTTCTCCGACAACGTGGGTCACGGTTGGACTCATTCTTATGACCATGGCCATCATGCATTATTTTCCCAAGACGCCGTTTATAGGCCATTTGATCCCGCCAACGCTTGTGGCAACAGTGATTGGTGTAGGATTCGAGTTTGTCATTAATCGTCCATTACTTGGATATGATGTACGTACGATCGGGGACACATCTCCATTGAACGGCGGTCTGCCGACTTTTGGTGTTCCCAAATTTGGAGATGTCCAGGACTGGGGAGTTGTGCTTTCCACAGCGGCGAGTTTTATGGCAGTCGGACTTTTTGAGTCACTCATGACACTACAATCTGTTGTCGATCTGAAAAAGGAGCAGTTGTCACAGAAAGCCACAAGCAAGGAGTGTATTGCGCAGGGCATTGGCAACATTTTGTGTGGTTTCTTTTCCGGTATGGGAGGCTGTTCCATGATTGCACAGTCTAATGGAAACGTGCTGAATGGTGCTCTTTACCGTCTGTCGTCTTTTACGGGTGGTATGTGCACGTTTCTCGTCGTGTTTTTCGCCAGCTCGGTGATTGAGCAAGTGCCAGTGGCATGTCTTACGGGAATTCTTTTCGTGATTGTCATCCACACATTCTGCTGGCCGTCATTAAAACTCATCTTTCGCGTCAAGATCGAAGATGCCATTGCAATCATCCTCGTGACCGTGCTTGCTGCGGCGATGAACCTTGCCATCGCCGTCATCATTGGTGTTATCTGGCAGTGTCTGGTTAATGGATGGCAGAGTGGTCGCAAACTCACATTTCGCACGGGTATGGAAGTTGTGCCAGTGGTCAACGCACATGCCGACCACGATTTGGCTATGCTTCCCGAGGAGGCCAAGATATACTTCCTACAAGGCCAGCTTCTCTTTTCATCCGTGGCTTTTTTCCGCGAGTTCTTCGACGTTCTCCACGACCCGAATGTCGTTATCTTGGACATGCGCGACTGTGTTTTTGTCGATTTCTCGGCTGTTGCAGCCTTCCGTGAAGCTGCAGAACGCTACCGTGATGCAGGAAAGACGCTTGTGGCTCGTAACGTCGATTCGCAGTCGCTGAATATGTTGAACCATGATTTTGGTTGGGATTCGGTTACACACATTCAAATCGCGACACCAGATAGTGTCAATAATACTCCCGATGAACTCGTCAAGAGCACAATTGACAAAGAGCGCCCGCTTCGTCACTCTCAGGGACCGCTCCACCAATTGCACGTCCCGTCACCGAACGAAATGACGACATCATACCACCCCGCTGGACCATAAATTGCTGCATATGCAAATGGGTGGAGAGAAGAATTGGTTTGCTGATGGAACAGGTCACGACTGGGTCTAAAACTACCTGGACACTTTTCTTCTGCTGTCGGTAATTGCTTTGTTTGAAGCACGTGGCCGTGTCTGGCCATCATGGTGCCGATCACAGTGATTTCGTCACCAGAGTACACAAAAGCTGTTCTGATGATACTAAGTGCTTCATCATTAGACGACAATGATCGTCCGTCAGGATATATCTGATCAGCCTAAGTGTAGCAACCTCGAAACTTTGCAATACGTCACCTAGTTTTTTTTCTTTTGCGCAGAGTACTGTACTTGAAAGCTGCACGAAGCATTTCAAGACGTGTAATGTGAACACAGTACATCGATCGGTGGAAATGATCTGACCATTTATTATACGTCCCATAAGATTACCATCCAAGGGTATTCCTCCTTTTGAACATGGCATCACTGAGTCTTTCGCCAAAAATGCTCTGAGACAATGTTGGTGAAGACGACGATGTCCTGATAGCAATGCGTACCTTGCGCATGGCTAGCTTTATCTGCTTCTCTGACAAATCTTGAATCACCATAGCGTTCATGGAGCACTTGTCCAGCACCTCCGCGGGTAGCAATGCCTTTCACTCTTTGCAAAGAAAACTAAGCGTGGACAATTGGCAAAACACAGCTCCAGCCGAAGCTCATGTACCAAGTGACTTCGCTGAACCGTGGAATGCTTTATCTTGTTTTGCTGAAGATATGTAGCCTTTTCCCAATGTTGACGCCGAGAAAACAGTATCGAATCACTGATACCGTTGTCGAGTATTGTCTTGGGGACATCCACTTCCGTGCACTTCACAACTCTTTACTGTTTGTCTCCACGGTATTAGATGCTTGGCACTCTGGACGAACGCGTTAATACCTGATTTTCATCTGACGGCATCTTTTCCTCACGAATGGCAGTGATGGCTTCCTTAAATCCAATGCGAGCGTCATTATGCACAATGCCCACAAGAAGCTCTGAGCTCTGAAGTAGAAGCTGGAGTCGATCCCGTGCGTTCACGATAGCCAGCATAATGCCTTGCCCTCGCAGCTCTGACTTCAAATGTTTCATCATCTGAATTGTTGTGGTGTCCCAGTCCATGATGGAGCCGGCGTCAATGACTACGCCGCGGACAGCCACATCCGTTTCGTGGCGCTTACGAACCTCGCGTTCCACCACGCGCTCGATGTACTCACAGTTAGCAAAGTAGAGCGCGCCTTCCACTCGAATCACCACGACGTCAGGTAATGGGCGTGCTGTGTCCGGATACAAGTCTAAATCCACAATTCGTGTCTCACTAGTCTCCTCATCTTTCATCTCACCCAGCATAGAGACAATTGGCCGACGAGTTTTGTAAATCACGGCGATGAGGGAGCAAAAGATGGAGGAGATCAGCCCAGGTAGCACACCTAATAAACATGAAAGCACGAATGATGCAAGCCACACGTAAAACTCGTCCCGCTTGACACGATACAGCCATTTTGCTTCTTTCATTTCAATGAGCGAATAGCCGGCGACGATAATAATCGAAGCTAGGCTTGCTTTCGGCAGGTAAGCTAAAGCTGACGTAGCCGTGTACAGCACCATCACCACAACAAGTACAGTGATCACACTCGCAAGCTGCGTGCGCGCGTTCTGCATGTTCACAGCGGTGCGTGAAAGACCGCCAGTTGAGGGCATCCCCTGGAAAAAGGAGCCAACGAGATTAGAGAAACCTAGGGCGATAAGCTCTTGGTTTGGTCGAATCCGGTATCCTTCTTTAATCGCCAGACGCTTCGCCATAGCAACACTGCACATGTACGAGATGATAGCAATCGATAGTGTATCAATAAAGAGATGGTATAGGCGGTCCGCCTCAATGATGCTAGTGCTCAACCCGTACCATGGCCTTTTAGGCAACGGGTAACCGCCTGGAATGTCTCCAGCAAGCGCCAAGGAGCCTTCTGGAGCCAGATAACCCACTATTCCACCAAGCAGACACACCATGAATGCACCCAGATCACACATCAGCCTCAGTGCAATCAACACCGCCATCTTCGAGCGCAACAGACGGATTGACGTCGACGATGCTGCTAACATCCGTCCCGTCAGTGCCGTACTCGGATCAGCCGACTCTGACCCAGTCTCGGACTTTGCAGGTGACGCAAGCTCCTTAACACGTCGTTTCATCTCAACCTCAGCTTCTGCTTCAGCAGCATCATCATCATGACGATTCGTGTCACCATCATAGATACGGCGAGGTATCTCCACTTTAGGTTGCCTTGGGTTCATTCTCGGCAAAACTCGGATCGAACCTGTTTCATCCGAATTGGAACGATGTGTTCCACGATCAGGTCGAGTACCAAAATCAAGGGGTCTCTCAATTGTAATATAATCTTCATCTGATAATGAAAATCCGACACCACCAAGATTTTGATTGCTGTGTACTGAAGATGCCCATGGAGATGACAAGACATAATCGTCACATCGTATTGATCCTGTAGTAAGTATAACCGGCATTCTTGTTCCACAAGGTGAGACCGCCATATTTTCCAATTCGACTTCATCGTCATTTTGTTTTAATTGTTTCTTCTTCTTATTCTTGGGTACATTTCCCAACTCAATATCATTTCCATAACTTGTAACTTCTTCTTCTTCTTTATCTTCATTTACAATCTCTTCCTTCTCTTCCATTTCTTCATCACTGAGATTATCTTGCATTGTACTTGTTAATCTCATTCTTCCCGACAATTGATTTAATGCTCTTGATGTCTCAATAGCAAATTGATTTTCCATTGTTTCTTGTATAATCAACAATTCTTTCACGACTTTTTGCTTCAATTCATTCATCCCAACAAGAATAACAATTGAAAAGACTCCAACGGCAAAACTTAGTGCATTCACATGTGAAATTTCTTGAATCAAATCCACGACCGTCAAAACAGGTAAATCTTTGCTTTTAATATCCAGTCCCAACCAACTTGCCACTTGAGACAACATAATCAAGACACCTCCTGCAGATAAAAACCCACCCATCACCGGTCGGGAAAAAAAATCGGCAATCACGCCTAGTCGAAAAATACCCATCAAAAAGAGCACAATTCCACTTAAAAAACTCAAAAGAATGCCCGTCGCAATCCGTTCTTCGACACTTGCAACCTTTTTAATCGCCGAACCCACTAAAAGACTCACTTCGGCCCCATTTGCGACCGAAAGGACACGGGAGGTACCAAATAATGGGTAAATCATTGGTACCACGGCTGCAGTATAGAGTCCATAAATTGGGGGGACCCCCATAATCGCACTTAGTGATACTTCTTGGGGTACAAGCATAAGTCCGACCGTAACCCCTGCCACCACATCAAATTGTAAATCTTCCCGTACGTCGTAAGTGGGTAACCAGTCCAAAATGGGTACATGTTGTTTGAGGAAAAAGAGTAACCTTTGACGGGTTACGGTCTGCCCAGTCGCACATGTTGATGTCCATCCCGATGAAAGCAACGCAGTAAAACAACTGAAAGAGACATGATTGGAAGCAGAAGAAGAAGAAGAGGAAGAAGATAATGATGTCATGGATATATGGACAAATTGGCTCTGGATGAGAGAAGAATGCACGAGGTTACGCTTGTTGAGGGTTATAATGAAGTGACGTTTTATCTTTATGACTATTGATGATATTCTCTCAATAAGCATACGAATCCGAAATTATCGAAACCTATAGTGTACGACCTCTCGAAGCAAATATTTGGTGATGGAGAAAAAGTCTACAAAAATCTTGGATATTTCGGAAAAAGCTCCTATCCGCCATAAAATATCCAGCCATCATGCCTGACGTGGATATTAAACAGGAGCAAGGAGATTTGACTTTGAATGAACGAGATGCTACGGCTGAGGTCACAGTACATGAAGTTGATCCTATTTGTTACACTGAACACGTCATAAAAATTGACAACTTTTTGTGTTTTTTTTGTGTGTGTGTAGCTTACCTGCTGCTGCTGCTGCGTATAATGCAGCAGTGCCACATGAGGAACAAGAACGTAGTAATCAATTACTGATACACGCGTGTAATTGTGATATTTTTGAATGTGAAGACATTGAATTTCAGAATTTATGTGCCCATATGAAGAGATTCTTGCGTGTGATCTGCTGGGCTTCACATAGTGAACGATGGCGATCGTATTCCATTGCTACAGTTGTGATTGAACTCTTTACGTTTCATGCACTGCATTGCCACACATTGCAGTGTAATGTACCAATGTGTCGACAGCTGCGATGTCAAGATAAACAGACAAGCTGCTAGTGCAGCAATTGGCTGTGTTTTTACAAGGCTTTATACGAGAGAAAGCTGTAGCATGGAGTTATTGCGACGAGGAAGAGGTGCACCTACAAATTAAGCCATTGGTTGGTCAAGGTGTCGTTGTTTTGGTGCCGTTTTGGCAGCGGATTGATATTTCAAACATGCTCAATAGACACTGCCATTCCACTTAGCTTGAAGGAATTGTAGCACTCAACTAGCTGTAACGTGATCAACAATAAGCAGTTCCACGGAGTTGTTTGTATTGACAGCTCATTCTTCGATTGGTGATGCTCTCTTATCGATTCACTGCTGGAATTTATGAGGTCTTTCACCATGTCCAGCTACTGAGCGACGCAATTGGGATGTCGATCGAAAAAATGATTTTTTTGGTGAAGCCTTTTTGAGAAAACTTCTCAGTAATGGATATCAAATTGTGTGTGTATCTCGATGCCAATGGACATCCTGCTCTAACGTTTTTGTTTTTTTTGCAGTGCACTAATGTCATGCCCGATGCTGTTGACTCCACTGGTGTAATTACGTGGATCGGTTACATGTCAGACGAAGGAGAAAGCATAGTGAGATAGGAAGGACAAAAATTGAATGGCTGAGAGCTTTCGATTCACCATCGTTAACTTAGTTAATCTTACTCACTTTTGGATTCTTCAATCTGGCCGAAAGCCCATCTCATCAACAGCTTCTATCTAGATAAAAAATATATCTGGTAAGGACTTGTACATCTTGGAGCACAAGAATTGTTGGGCAAGTTAAACAGGTAAAGAAGTGTCTAGTGCTACACGCCTGCACGCTAGCTGAGTTACACATTCAACGAGTTTTAACACACTAGATTACCGTATTAACTCCCAGGCTCGGGGTTGAATACTTACCACACGATTCTCATAACTGAGGTTATGGGCAATAGCCACACTGATGGCAAGTCCTTATCTACACGAAGAAGAAGTAATGCAAATACCGACTCAGCTAACGCTGCAGAACAAACCTGAGATGACTGAAGAAGTATACGTGGACATACATAAGCCAACAAGCACACGCCGGCGGTAGCCTCTATCGTCCTCTATCAAGCGAACAACGGAGTTTAATGGATCACCGGTCACATGATCGATGTGCCCGAGACTGATCAACTGGAGCTGGTGTATCTGCAACAGCGAATACGGAACACAGCGCATCCGCAGCAACATGGATTCCCTTAGAACCCCCCATCCTCCATCAATAACATGGACGCTTTCAAGGCGCTACAACGCCAACCGTTACATCGCGCCAAACGACAGCTACAATGGAGCGCTTACATCGGTAAGTACCAGGTTACAACACCGAGACGGCTCACAGGATGGCTACCATTTTTCGATGTCGCAGTCACCGGCACATCTCTGGGAACACGGATACACTCTCATGGATTATCAGGTCTTGGTTTTGCTACAAAGTAGCTACCCATCAGTTGAATCTGTACTTTCGGGGACGCCACATGGACTCGACATGCAAAAGGCATCTGGCCTGCGTCAGACAACACGAAGCTCCTACATATCCTCTGTGACTGCGAGGGTGCGTCTAGGTCTTGGGATACATCATCACGCAGTGGACACGACCCGAGGTATCATCTGCTTATATAATCTTGTACAAACAAGCAGCATTATCGCGTTCAGAACCGGAGCTACCTCCAAGAGTGCGGGCGGCTATCTCACACGTTTTCCCAGACAACGCTGACATTGTTGGTTGCGCCTGGAAAATAATATGGTGGATAGCTTACTCCGTCTGCGACCACGCTCTAGATTCAGCGGCACTGAAGTGTCCATAAGCAAGAACGTGCGTCCTTGGAGAAAGAGGTATCAAAAGTCGAAACAAGTCCTTCTTCGCCAACTCTGGGCGGTTGCTCATCAAGGGACAACAAAGAGATAGGGATGTGAGCAACGGCGTTTACCTCCGCTTAGCAACGGAAATGTTCCAAAACACCATCGCCTACCGGCAGCCGGCACTGCACAGCCCTCGTAACCGACAGGAGACATCGTCTGAGGTTACTAGAATGGCTACGAACTTTTCAGAATCTTGTAAAGATAACGATCAATAGGCGTTTGCTCCCACACATAACCTCTTGCAGTGATAAGGTTCGAGTAAATCATCTGTGACAGCGGCAAAGACAAGTGTCATTCAAATAGCTTTTCCCTTGGCTAAAGACAAACAATGACGACCAAGCAACAAACTTGCTTGTCGTTTCAAGAAACAGAAAGTAGCAACAACGGAGATTCCGTTGGTTTAAGGACCGTGGAAGAAAGAAATGGAGTGTCCAAGACGCATCTGATTTTTGCAGTCGAAAGGGAAAAATGACCATAGCCAGAGACACAATGTAGTTTGGTACACAGGAAACTCTGTAAGTGGCCTCCAACGACTGAGATCTGCAGTTTTATTTCATATATGGCAACCTCCGAGTGAACAAGTTAGAAAAAAAAGGGGGAGAGGAACTTTTTTAAAAAAAAAAAAATATTTTAATTTTTTTTTTTTTTTTTTTTTTTTAAGCATCTGCACGTCTTTTACGTGGTTGTCTATTGTATACCATTTTTTTAGTGCTGTGAGAACATATACTGTACTTCAGAGTACATGTATACTCTTGAATACACATTTTTTTTTACTACAATGCGCTTTACGCAAAAGAAGTAGGTAAAATATATCTGGGAAAAGGATAATCATAATATCCTAGATTGAAAGAATTTCTATTTAAAATCACAGTAATGGCAGTGGTATCGCGCGAGTGTTTTAATTGGGAGGAGGCCGTGGCCCAGGACCGTGAGTTACAGCGCATCGATGCTTTCGTTAAGCTTACTGTATCCAAGCTCCCGGAACAGCCACCTCCACGTGCTGACGAAGGCCGTGGTGGCTCTCGCTTCCAACCAGCCCCATCACCTGCACCTTTTGTCAAACTTGAACCGCGTACGTTTCTATTTCTAAATTATCTCGCGCAATTGTTATCCTATTTTTGTGTACAACCCTAATCACTCCCCTATTTGGTTTTAGTCCCATCAGTAAATAGGACCATGTCCGGACCTCGGTCCATGACAGAATTTATCAACCCCCGTGACTACCAGAGCGAATCGTCCAGCGAGATCGATGCACGTGAAGTGAATCCAATGGACGAACTGAGCGATTTTGAGTCGGAGACGCCGCACCAGCCAGTGAATCAGAATCAGAGGTGGAGTCAGAATCAGAACCAGGATTTGGATCGGGATGTGGACGAATCTATGGATGTTTTAATGGAGGAAGAAGAAGAAGATGAGCAGAATCAAGAAGATCAGATCGTGTGTGCAGTCTGCAGGAAATCAGATAGAGAGAATGAGAGGGTTTTGTGCGAAGACTGCGACACTGAGTTCCATCATTTTTGTCTGGATCCGCCACTGCCCCGGGTTCCTCATGGTTCATGGTGCTGTCCGCCGTGTAGAGCCAAGCATCATGCTGCTACTGTGGTGGATGTGAAGGAGGAACCAGCACAAACAGCTGAATCTACGGAGAACGCTACTACGACTTCTGCAGGAGACTCGGAGACTGCAACGACAGGACGAAATGTAGAAAATGGTAACGTTTTACCCACGAGTGGACCGACATCGATCTCTGTACGTGACAAAAGAGGCTTTACTTGGCTTGTATGGCTGGGTATCCTGGCAGCTGTATTTACGTGTTTTTTGGCTTGTACAGATCGCTCAGATGCTAGCAGGAGATCCGAACAAGAGTAACTCACTGCTTATTCACGCGTGCAATTGCGACCAAATCGAGTGCACGGACCATGAGTTCCATTTATTCTGTCCACACATGAAGCGATTCTTGCGTAGTGTGTGCTGGGCGTCGCATAGCGACAAGTGGCGCTCTTACCGACTCGCGCAAATCACTGCCGAGTTGCTTGCATACCATGCTATGAACTGCAAACTTTTACAGTGCAATGTGCCACTCTGTGTCAAGATCCGTGAAGAAGAAATTGTCTAAGTCATGCGACGCAAGGTCTCGACGCACCAGTAAGTACCAGCAGAGTTTTAATGAAGTGGTGTGCTTAACTTGTGATCTTCATTTTTTATTTTTCTGGGTGCGTCCCCTACCGGTAGTTCTCATATTACAGGGGAGTAAAGAGGACTTGAATAGCCGATTTGGACGGATTACAACAGGACGCGCTTTGACGAAAAGATTCTAGCGGTGGCGCGGCTGTATTCATGCATCAATTGGAGCCACGTCCCATACTGTGAATAACTTCTAGTATCTGCTTGGAAGTCTGTTTTATGCCGTTGTGCTGGTTCGAATGTGGCGGCGCTTTTGGTCTTCTTGACGATGAGATAGTAGCAATATACATTGGACATGGAGCTGTGGATGGGTGTTGAGAAACTTGCATCAAGTCCCACGATGATATGGACGTGCGTAACTCCTTTTCCGCGTAATTTGGGCTGGTGAACAGCTGTTTTTGAAATCTATGGAGAAATATGGGAAAATGCGCATGACCTTGACAATGACGTCTCCTGTACTGTTTTTACTCGGCCGTGCATCGAAAATCCTGATTGCTTTCGTTTTGAAGTGGGTTTGTTTCCGAGCATTGGAAACTATTTTGTATGCTTCCAGACAGGGTGAGAAGTGGATGGTTTCATGAATAATGGGTAATCGATGCCTCTGATGTTATTCTTCTATCGTGCTAATCGTCCCAGTAAAAGGATCAAATCGGCAGATTCAATTTCCAAATTCGGATAACACCAATCTTGATACCTTCTATGGTTCAGCTTTGATTTGTTTTCGCACTATTTATGTCGCTCCGGGAAACTTTTTTTGCCGACTTTTTAGAGAAATGTCACAGATTTTGGAGTTTAGCCGCTAACCTCTTTACACAGGAGGGTCAAATTTTCCTCTCTCTAATAACCAATTTATAATGGCAGATATTGCTGCTGATTCATTCCAGCGGGTCTAACGGATGACATGTGGATCGACTTGTGCCCGCTATCCATTTGAATGCCCACACTAATATAACGGAAGTGGTTATTGGTTTGGGCGGTTTTCTCATTGAAACCTCGAGTCAGGTGGGAAAGTTACCGGAGGTATGACAGCCAATTGTGCTGTGCTCTCGAGTTAGTTAAAACGATAGATATTCAATAAGTATGTCGATAGCGGCATCGCAAACTCGAATAATTTAGCACACTCGAACGCCAGCAGATCGCCTTGTAATGACTGTGAGATGGCGACTGAATTTTGCTGCTGGAACGTGTCACGATTAACAAATTGGGCAAGTCTTTTGAGAAGGACTTGACCACGTCGGACTACTTCCGATAGAATGTGACGGCCTAACACAACGATGGATGCTAAGGAGTGAGTTTGGGAGTGATTGCAAATTGCCTCCAGCTAATCCTGACGGAAGATATAACTGACCATTGCGATGACAAGTAGATGAGGGTGTGATGTCACTATGATAGACCTCCTACTCTCATTACTACAGTTTGAGTTGTAGGATGTGCAGGCCACGAAATCGTTGTACTGCTGAATGGCTGGAGGCCTTCATAGACCAAAAACTGTGTGAAAAAATGGCTGTGGCTTGCGTCAATTGCGTCGTGGATACAATCACCACATTGCTCAAACGTGATAATCATGCGATGATTACAAAAATGCGTATCGATGCCTTCCTTGTTAACGGATGCAACACGAAATTCATTACATTTGGCTGCAATGTCATCGACAAGTACCTTAAGTTTTCAAGCTTCCAGGGCAGAAAGTATTCGACTTTTTACGTGATGGAATTGAATTGATATTGACGAAGATGACGAAGAATTGGCTGAGGAAAATCAATATGGCAATTTATAAGTGGTAGACGGAGTATAAGGTTTTAAGTCTTCTATTTGCACGTGCTTCATGAAGCTATTACCATTGTGATCACCCCGTTGACAAGTTTAGAAACAATGGATTTTTGGCTTGAAGGGTAAAAACTATTATATATTATTCTTTAGCATGAATTAGAAAACCGTGATGCAAATCTTAGGTATTGAGCTGACCTGTCTTTAATGACCATGCCGTGAGTAACGGTATAAACTCGTTGTTCATGATTTTTTCAAAAAAAACAAAATTCTTACAAGCTATTGTTTTTTTGGAAAAAAACGTTGTTTTGAAAAGGTACTAAACGACGAATTTTTGAGCATTTTTTAGAAATTCAAGGTTCACATTTTCTTTGTCTTTTTCGCATTGATGACAAAGTGTCGCCCATTCGACAATAAAAAGAAGCCAGGCCTCTTTCTTTCCCGTTTAAGTACGCTATTTACTCTTTTTGACAAGTGCCGCACTATAATCACTTTTGCGCACCAAGCAACGTCACGTTCCTCTCCTGTCTACAATAATGGCACAGTACGGCAAAGTTACTTACTGGGATGAACGCTACACCAAGTACGTTCTCTTCCTTCTCTCTCTAGTGCATTTATTTCTTTCTCTCTTGCTTTTTATGCTTGCATTTCTGCCATTTTTGACACGGTAGCCGAAAAGGCAACTTCCCGTTGTCTATTTTTGACATTTTTGTATTTTTGACAAATTATTTTAGAGATTCGGAACAATTTGACTGGTACCAACGCTACGAAGGCTTGAAAGCGTTACTAAATCAATATGTCAAAAAGACCGACAATATCCTGATGGCAGGTGCTGGTAATTCCCGACTATCGGAAGAAATGGTGAACGACGACTACCAGAAGCTCATGAACGTGGACGTGTCAGAAATTGTCATTCAACAGATGGCTACCAAGTACAAAGACCAGGCTGAGAAGCTACAATGGCAGAAGATGAACATGTGTCTACTAGAGTTTGCAAACGAGACGTTCGATGCTGTTGTGGACAAGGCTACAATGGATTCGATCCTATGCGGTGAAGGGTCGACAGCCAATGTGTCAAAAATGTGCCAGGAGATTTACCGGGTACTTAAGCCCAATGGTGTCTACTTTGTCGTGTCCTACGGTGTCCCAGACAACCGACTGAGCTACTTGGAGAACAAGGAGATGCAGTGGAAGGTTACCGTGCATACGGTGCCGAAACCAACAGTGAGTGCCTTGCAAGTCTCAGAAGCGGACGCCAATGCCGTGCACTACATTTATGTGTGCCAGAAAGGCATTAAAGCTGAGTAGAAGAAGGTGATTGAGTGAATTGATTGACCCTTGAGCGTTTCAGCTGGATGCGTCCTAATATATCGGAATCTCTTGAAGAGAGAGAACGTTCTTTTTGCAAGCGGGTTGGGGGGTTGATGAATTTGAGCTCATGTGATGTGTGCATGTAGAGAAAAAGGGAACAAGTGAAGCTGGTGTTGTGCAGGATAAGTAAATGCCATGTCTTATTGACACAATGATGCTGTTGACACAATGATGCGAACAGTTCGTATCTCGTTGACATTCATATATTGCATGCTTCAGGTTGCCAGTCAATCAGCACCTCATTCAGATCATCATTTTTTTCCATAATAATCTCTTTTACAAGTATAAAATTTTGGCTTAAAGGTGTGTGTTGCAAATAGGCACACTTTGTCAACATGTCTTGTACACAAAAATGGCAGTCCAAATGGTCCAAATGGGTACACACGTTTAAGAAAGCCAGTGACCTAAATATTACGTAATCGAATAATCTCCGTCCTTACCTAAAATAGTGTACATATCACACAATTTACGTCGTGAAATCAGCGACTGTGAACTCTCCATCCAGAAACGCTTCCACTTCGAAGCCGACGTCTACGACGTGATATCTCCTTCAATATCAATCCGCCGTAAACCCCTCCTACACCCTCTTACGCACGTGAATCTCCTCTATCTCGTCATCTTGAAATTTCTTACTATCGATACGTAGAACCTATACAATTATTACTTAATCAATGGCATCTCAAGATGGTATCCGTGTCAATATTGTTAAAGCACGCGGCATTCTAGCGGCCGATAGCACTGGTACAAGTGATCCGTATATAACCATGACATTATTAGACTCTAAGGGTACAATTTTAGCAGCAGGGGGTACGTTCAAGACCAAAGTTGTCAAGAAAACACTCACACCAGAATGGAACGAAACGTTCGTTATTGGTGATACACTTGATCTTCGAGTAGCTACAACGTTGCGGCTTTTACTGAGTGACTCTGATGGTGCTTTCTATAGTGACGATATCTTGGGGGTCGTGGATATTCCAGTCTCATTATTACTAGGACTACGTGATCCATTGGATAATTGGTTTCAACTGACGAAACATGACAAGATGAAAAAAGATGCCAAAGGGGAACTTCGACTCGTCTTGGAACGTGTCGTGTCGGACGATACGGTCATTGGTCGAGGCACGGGTGTCAATATTGACACGGAACTAGAGAGCAAACCACTAGTGCCCGTGACGAGCACAGAACCACCAAATTTACTGTACGTGACGTTGAAATCCGGCAAAGATTTGCTTGGAATGGACAATAAGGCCACAACGAGTGACCCGATTGTGTTTTTCACGTTGGATGGACAGAAACATGAATCGACTAAGAAGGAGAAAACATTGCGGCCACAATGGAATGAAAAATTTGCTTTCTTTGCCCCTGATATGAAGAAGAACTTGGCAGTGTTGGTGGAGGATTATGATATTACGATTAATGATTTTATGGGGAAAGCAGAAGTGTCATTACGAGATCTAACTCCAAATGTCGAGAAGAATGTGACGGTGGAGCTTGGTGGTAAGCGAGGCAAGAAAGACAAGTTGCAACGTGGCGTCATTTTGCTTACGTTACTGTGGACATACGCTCCTGATGCGCGCGACATTGCAGCGAAGAAGAAAAAGTCGACGTTTTTGCCGACGTTTGGCGTTCCGGATAAAGACTACGATTCGACTGACGACGATGGCGTCGAGATTGACGACAAGGCAGCCAACAAAAAGTCAGAAGATGAGCTGAGGAAGGAGAGAGACGAGAAAGCGGAAAAGCAGGCGGCGTTAATGAATGAGCTTAGCAGTATTGAAATCAAGTCCGGTGACTACAATGTGCAGGTGCACATCATTGAAGCACGCGACTTGGTGCCAAAGGATTCTACCGGTACGTCGGACCCTGTCGTGTATGTTGAAGTTTTTGGGGAGAAACAGCAAACTGCTGTAAAGAAACAGGTGCTGAGCTGTTTTTGGGACGACTTGCTGATTTTTCCGTTCCGCAACTTGGACAAGTCTGAAGTTGAGATGGGATACGTCCGTTTGAGTGTCATGGATGCCAACACACTCCAACGTGCAGAGTTTATCGGTGGGGCACAGTTTGATGTGTCGTACATTTACTCCCAGACGAACCATCAACTCGCAAATGTCTGGATGGGTCTGACGGACATTTCGGATACGACAAACCAAGGCATTCAAGGATACTTGCGAGCGTCGATTTCAATCATTGGACCCGAAGACAAACTCGTTCCGCCTCCGTCTCCTTTTGGCGAAGGTGCGACATCAGACATGAACAACGTCATTATGCCGCCAAGCGTTACTCAGCAGGTTCACTTCTTGGGAGCAACGATCCATGTCGCGGAGCACTTGCCACCCATGGATGTTGCTGTTGTTGGCAGAGGCGGTCTAGATGCGTACATTAAGGCATCCATTGCTGGTGGAGACGCAATTCGAACTCGTGTGCGCACCAAGAAAGGTCGGCGTGACGAGCTTTGCCCGAGCTTTAACGAGGAGCTGATGCTTGTTATCCGCGAACCATCTATGGCCGATTCTATTCAGCTTGGTGTCTTTGATTGGGATCAAGTAGGATCTGATGAGCTTGTGGGATATGTTTACCAGAGCGTAAAACTCGTGAAGGCGATGGGTGGTAGAATCTCACCCTTTTGGGCCAACATTTACGGAGCACCTCTGCGTTTGAAGTCGGTTGGTATTCGCGATTCCATGAAGAAACAGATGAATACGTATCCCGATATCGCCAGCACGTATCGCGGCCGTCTTTTGATTAGTTTGCGTATTTTGTCAAACGATGACAACGAGTTTGACGAGACCAATCAGAAGCGTAACACGAAGCGTATTCCGCGAGACTTATACCCTCGAGAGCGTATTTATCGTTTGCGAGCCCACTTTGTGTGGGGCAGTGAGATTCCATCGTTCATGAGTTCCAAACGTCCTGGCCAAAAATCTAACATGCAGCTGGTGATGTCGTGTGGCCTGAACGAAATCGCGTCTTCGCGAAATCGGAGCGTGAATGGCGCAGTGGAGTGGAACAACATGGAAGAGAGCGAGAAGATGTTGCTCCCTGAAGATTTGTCCCAAGTACCGGACATTTTCTTGTACCTGTGCAAAGGAGAGGGTGATAATCGAAAGGCTGTGTGCTTCCGGCGCTTTACTGCGAAGGAGCTTTTGGAGGACCGAGGAGGGTTTAACAGCCAAGTGGAATGGATATCAATGAAGGAAGACCAAGCAATTAATGCTCTGGAAAATGAAACGTTCCCAGGTAATGTGCTAGTTCGCATGGGCTTTGGAACGGAGGAAATGGCGATGAAGACGTCGTGGGATCGCTCGGACCTGGATGTAGTGAACAAACGGATCCCTTTTCAGCTTCGAGTTCACATTTACCAAGGCCGCCGTCTTCCGCCAGCCGATTCGAATGGATTATTAGATCCGTTCCTTGTTATCCGGTGTACGGGTGAAAAAGAGAAAATGACTTCTAAGAAGAGAAAGACCAGAGACCCGCTATGGTACGAAACCATTTATTTTGATGTGAATCTGCCGGAACTAAAGTATGCGCCTCAAGTGATGCTGCGCGTCATGGATTATGACGATTTTGACACCAACGATTTCGTTGGTCTGGCTGCGCTCAACCTTTCCGAGGCACATATTCGAACTTCGCAGCAGCTGTCGAGCGATCATCTGGCAACACTACCGGACCCTAAGTGGCGCCCTATCATGTTCCAAGAGCCTGGCGATTGTGAAGGCGAGATCCTTGCATCCTTAGAGCTTATTCGCAAACAGTTTCCTGATGAAAAGGTGCCTCGCGCACTTCCAATCTTGCCGAGAAACCGTAAGGCATTTTTGGAAATTACAGTGCTTGGTCTTCGTAACATGGAGCCGTATCAATTTTTGCCCATCCAGCTGCCGTTTATCGAGTTCGTGCTTGGTGGCAAGGAACATGCAGCCCAGGAAATGATCACGGAAAAGTCCAAGCGACCGTCTGGAAGTAACCCAAACTTCCTGCAACGCATCGTGAAGGAGGTCGAACTACCTGAGAATGCACATTTTGCGCCTCGACTGAATATCATCGTGAAGGACACGCGTCTCGGAGGTTTTCAGACGCCTATAATCGGTTCTGCTTCTATTGAAATGAGCACGAAGATTCCATGGTCAAAGCACTACCGCCCGCCTCAGAACGACACGCTTGCCGAGATTGAGCTGGAATCTGCAGATGAATGGGAAGATGATGCACCTCTGCTTGGAAAGGTGGCTAAGGGTAATGACTCTACCATGGAACCGGTTGATAACGGAGCTGGCGTCTTTGGTGCATTAAAGAGCATGGGTGTTGTGCTCGATCCCAATGGAAACTTTGACGAGGCTTCATCCCGCCGGTCGACTCTAGGGGGTTTAGAAGACGATCCAGACTCCAAGAAATATCTCAAGCACCGTGAATTGCTGGATGGCGAACTTGAGCTGGAGTTAAAAACGACACCTTTCGAGAAATATGGTTTGCACATTGGCCAGAAAAAGAAGAAGTCTCTCTTATCAGCCATCAATCCATTCGCGAAGAATACACGGGGAGTTGGAAACGATGTTGGCATTTACAAGATGGCAGGGTACTTTAAAGGTTTGATCCGTGTCATCGAACGTGAGGACGAGGAACCGTTGTTTGACTTCAAGACGCTGCTCCAGACGCTGCCATACGAAGTTCGTGTTTATGCTTTGGATGGAGTTGGCTTTGCGCCGATGGATCTTGGTTTAAATGGCCGTCCAGGCAAATCTGACCCTTATCTGCGCTTAACTCTTGGCAACCAAAAGCTCAGTGATCGTAAAAATTATATCGAAGATACAACTGATCCCGATTTCTACAAGATGTTCGTAATTAATGCGAAACTTCCAGGTGCGAGCATCTTGACGATCGAAGCCATGGACCATGACCTGATTGGAGGTGACGATTTGATCGGCAAGACCACCATTGACCTCGAAGATCGTCTGTTTGATAGGAGATGGCAAGCGATGGGGAAAATGTACGAAACCTCCAGTCGATTGCGCTTGAAGCCGCTTGAGACCCGAACTATTAACATTCCAACGTCTCGAGCTCCGATGGGCACGATCAAGCTGTGGATTGATATTTTGAGTCCTGCTCAAGCTCACGACTACCCTCCTATCGATATTTCGCTGCCTCCACCAGTCGACATGGAGCTTCGTGTGGTAGTGTGGAAAGCACGTAATGTGCCTTCGTTTGACACTATGGAAGACATGAACGACTTGTTCTTCCGCTGCTGGATGGAAGGCTCGGACTATCAAGAAACGGATATTCATTGGCGTGCTAAGAAGGGCAAGGGATCGTTTAATTGGCGCATGAAGTTCCCTATCACTCTTGGTCACAAGCAAACCAACACGAAGATACCATACTTCCACGTCCAAGGCTGGGACAAGGACGTGCTGTCTGCTAACGATGCGATTGGCGAGCACACGCTGGATCTTGGGCCTTCATTCCGCCAAGCTTACAAACTCAAGTCGAATGTCCAGGTCTATGAAGATGATGAAGAGACTAAGAAGAAAAAAAGGAAGGCTATTTCTGACGATGACGCTGCAGTTAAGAAGATTAGAGAGGCCACTGGTCTTTGGGATGACGATGACCCGCCGGATTCGAAGTGGCTGAAGTTGGAAAGTCTTGATCATAAGACAAACACGCGCAACTTCATGGGTGAGGTGTGTATCTCGCTCGAGTTAGTTCCGGCGGAGAATGCAAAGAAGAACCCTGTAGGTCAGGGCCGGTCATCACCGAACAACTCTCCGTATTTACCTCCTCCAGCCGGACGTCTTTCCTTCTCGCTCAACCCGTTTAAGGTGCTCAACGACCTGCTGGGGCCTTCGATCTGCAATCGGCTCATGTGCTGCTTCTGCTGCATCCTTTTCATGGTGGTTGTATACTTCTTGGCGCCGTTCATTAATGTGGCAATTATCGCGCTGAAACCATAATTTCGACGGGTGAGGAGACTCAGCGGTTCGTTCGTTGCCTACGATTACGGTCTTGCTTCCGTATTCGCGGTCATTTAAACGACAGCCGAGGCAGCACTTGATATCGAGTACCCGATTTGTGTCATTCTTGCTTCTGTCATGTTTGCAACCGTTGGGTTTCTATAGGTAGGGCGTGAGGCGAAGTCGTGCGATGGTTGTGACACGCACTGGTGATTGCCTAACTTGTGTATTTCTTAGAGTGAGTTGCTGCATGTCTCGCAAGCAAATAATTATATGGGGAAAAGATTCTTGGCTCAGTGTCTACCGAATGGGCGAGGAGTTCCGCGTCGAAAGTTTACCGGATTCAATGGTCCGACAAATAAAGTCTAGTCGACACTGGAAACCGCAATGCTGCAGCTATTACAAAACCTTTGAAAGAAAAGCTGAATGATGCGTACACGGAACCAAGGAGCCGCTGAAAGAAACAACGTCATGATAAAGAATCGGCGCTCGCTACAGCAAATACTTCGACAAGCACGTGGCAAGCGAGCAGTGGAACCGGTGACGCAACTTGCTCGAATCGATATCTCGAAATCGACTTGATGAAGCGCTCCATTGTAGGACAAAAAGGTAGGACTGGCACTTGGACAGACGCGGGTGCTGAGAAATACGAGAAATCTGGTTTTCCTGTGCATTTGAAGCAGTGTCGGTCGTCTTATCCACGTACAGTATATACGTACGTACGTGTCGGTCAGTCCTTGAGCACTCCATTGATGCTTAAGCTCATATGCAATGAAAGCGTTGAATATCAAGCAAGACTCGGACGTACCAGTTGATGTCGAGACCGATCGTTCCGTATCGGAGACCGAGGTGAACGAGTCGACGAAGTGGGAGTCGACAAAGTCGACGAAATTGGAACTGATGAATCGGATGCAATTGGAGCTCTCAATTCGTCCATGGACCGGCTGGGCCTTCATCTACAGCTTTGTTCTCCTCTTCTTCTTTTTCTATCGTCAGATCTCAATGACCGCGTTGATTAGAATGTACGGAACGCTCAGTGTTCTCCTGGGAGCCACAACGCTTGAATTTTGCCGAGGACTTTAATTGTGCGACGTCCAAGAAAATTGTGATGGACTTGTTGAATGTTCCATTAGGTCTTTGCCACGAAAACTCGAGCGTTTCTTCGGAATCGTTTTGTTTGGAGAACTTGTCAGTACTTGTCAATATCCAGCAAGGAAAGAAAATGTCTACCTTTCTATTGCCTGTAACTCGGCGCTCGCTCGACTTTGCGTCTTCCTTGTTTCACTTCACCTCATTATTTTCCTCTCCTCGTTTGAATCCTGTTCGCTTTCTCATTCTAACCACCTCTCGAAACCTTGAACGTTCTCTTCGTCACCAGTTTCCTAGTCTCTTGGTCTCCAATGAACACGAATCCATTCCCAACTGGTCCGACACAAAAGAGCTTCAAGAAGCTTTAGGTGTGTGTGACGGTGTTATCTTAGCTGCCAGCGGCTGTGGAGATGATGTGATCAATCTACCTAGTAGTCCTACGGACGAGTGGCTGCAGTGCGAGCAGAAAGTGGCATCTCTCGTGTCAAAAGATCATCGTGTCGTCAAGTTGTCGTGGACAGAAGGTTTTGTAGGAGAAGAATCGCTTTCTACTGTAGGAAGAGCTACTTGGGAATTAGAAGAAGAGTTAAAGCTAAGACTTGGGGAAGGGGGGTCAGGGGCTCATAACTTGACAATTGTGCGAGCTACAATGGGCATGGACGCCTTCCTACGCGGCCAATTGTTTGACTTGGTGTGTGGAAGGACGCTCTCAACGAGTGTCAAAAGAGGTCGTGTCGCATTCGTGCATCCGCTCGATGTCGTGGAGAGCCTGAGTGCTTTGGTGGCAAAGGTGGACATTGATAAAAGAGGAGAGGAGAGCCTGGGTGGACTCTTTAAGCTGACGGGACCCGAGTCGTTGACATTTCCAGACGTCACCAAGTTACTATCGAGAGGAATCGGAGACAAGGTGAATTACTCACACTTTCCGTTGTGGGCGGTGCAGCCTGCACGCTGGGTGCATGGTGTCCCCGGCGACGCTGTCGAAGAAGAACTTGCCGTGATTCGAGCATTGGAAGCGGGGGTACAACAAGAAGTTGACACGACTTTCATGGAGAAGCTGTTAGGCCACGAACCACGCTCCTTTCGTACGTTTATTGCTGAGAACGTCGCTGCATGGCCACGTACACACCCAGTGTAAGGTTCCTTGGGATATGGTCTCGGTGTTTGGTTCATTGTACGTTGTGCCATGAGGCTAAAGAAGTGTTTCAAACGAATCTAGCTTTGAAGCGGACCACTGTATGGTATTTCCACTGCTTTCATAAGAGCATTGAGACGTATCAGCCCAATAATTTGTTCGCTCATCTTTTGTCAGCGTCACACGTTGCAAGTACGGTAACAGTCTTCAGATTCCACCAGAAGCCTCTCAAACAGCCAGCACTTGCCAGAGTATCGTCACCTTTATTTGTTTCAATCCTTCTTGAGATATGCAGCGTACAATTGCGCATAACGCACATACTGACCCTGCTCGTCGATATGCTCATCCGTGTGCTTCGTCAACATGCGAGACGGACAGGCGACTGTCTGCCTGCCACTCGGAATCAGTCATAGCCTTCTGATGTATGCCGGTTGCTGCGCGCTCTGTCTTTACCTGCGCGTCTTGTTCAAGTGCATGCAAGCGTGCTGCAGCTCCCATTCATTGTCGGACCCGGTGTACACAACGTTGCGCGCATGTCCTTCTGGCAGTCTAGCATGTAGGCCTTGTCGACCTTGTTACCGAAACAATCGCCTTCGACTTTTCTCGGATCATACGCAATTGTGCATAATCTCCACCCTCACGCCACGCCAAACCATGTATTCCAGCCGACAACGGCCGTCGGTCAACGATGGACTGTGGAGTAGTCATGGAATCCGAATCGTTTGCCGTCGAGGCTCGTTAGGTGCGTCGACGTAGTTCCGGATCCTTTTTCGTTTGCAATAGTGGACTCGATGTTCGAGTTGTAGTTCTTGTAGTCGAAGAGGTGGTGCCATGTGTGAGGTTGCACCGCTGTCCATCATCCAATTCAGCAACATTCTCCCTTCGGGAGACGGGCATCCATGGCATCGATCCCGTTCATGTTCGGCAGTCCCAATTCATGTGACCCGCTTGTTCACAGCTGAAACACTTGATCATAAAAGCCTCCAGCTTTACTCTCGTCGTTGCTGTACAGTTTTGCTCTTGAACTTACCGTTGTTCGAGTGACCTTCAGCGCATGCTCCGCACTTTCATTCCTCTCCAGACACTCCAATGCTTTGAATAACTTCTCTTTCTCCTTCATCAAGGTGACATCCACAGAGTTTTGCAATCGACCAGAACAACGTATTCTATGGCTACCTGCTCAGCAAGATCACGCGCTGTCATACCACATCGCGTAGCACCCCGGGCATTTGCACGATGAGATCGTTTATTGAAGCTCTCTAGTGTTCTACCATCGTCGCTCTATCCATTAGCTTGAAATCGTAGAGCAATGAGTCATGAATACACGGTTGGACATTATGGTCAGGTTGCAGAAGACGCGGAGGGTTATCCAGGCGTGCAGGGCCGACGTCACCCACGTATCTTCGTGAGGTACTCCCCCGACTTCTGGAAGTCGGTCCAAGCACTTTCATGTCGTTCAGTCACTGTGTTCCTCCATCTTCGACGTGTCTTTCACCGCTTGTACTTGCACCTGCAGTCCCTTCCTCGCACATGGCAAACTCTAGTGTCCATGGCCGAGGAAGAAACTGTAGTTCTACTTATATGACTGCGGCCTTCTTGAAGAACTTGATCGTCAAGTTGATGTGTCTTGCAGCTACTAAACTTTGAAGTGCTTGAGAGTTAGATGGCAAGAGCCGAAGCAAGATGAATTGCAGCCCTCAATCAAACTACTATTCAGACATCCTTGTCAACACTGCTGGTCGCTTGCACTGGCGGCAACAAGGTCAATGAAAAGAAGAAACGCGAGTTATCCGCGCAGATCCAGTCAGCCAAACCACTGGTTCATTATTGCGCTGTATCAAGCAGATTGAACGCGACATCCCGACAATGTTTGCTCGAGTAAGCCACAACTCCTGAAAACGAATGTCGTAGAAGAAGAACCCCATGTATCCTGTTAGTGTCACCGTGTAGCAGCTTAGCAGCAGCAACGCCACCTTGTTGAGGCCGGTCTCGAGCCCTATCGTAAATTAGTTTGATACTTCTTCCAGCAGGTGCTTTCGTAACTTCGGCGTTACGAGCGCAGGAATGGATAGTGTACGTGCTTTTTTCTCGTCTCATGTACGATGAGCGGCTTTGTGACTTCCAAGACGTGCTATCGAGACATCGTGTCAACCTTGATTGCTGCAACCCCAATAATCACTGCGATCAATGTAAGGAGCAGAAGCAAAAGTGTCCAGTCAAATACTTACAATGAAGCTGAACCATCAGCGAGACTCGACCAGGAGAGACATTCTCTCCTGGTCGAGTCTCGCTGATGGTTCATGGTAAGCGAATCATTTGTCGAGCTGAGGTTGTGACGACGTTGCCTGGGCAGAAATGTGTGACCGTTGGCTGCACGAGACAAGTTGCATCTAACGCCTTTGAAGGCTGAAGTAGCAGCTCATATCCTACACGACCCAAGTTGCAACGATCATTGACTACTAAGGACATTCTCGGAAATTTGATCAACAATGCAGCTTCGAGACAACATAACTGGTGCCACTGCAACACTTCGCCACCTGTGCGTGACGGACATCTTACAAGCAAAGATGGTGTAATTACGATCAAGCTGGTTCGGCGTTGACGTTCTCCAGACCTTCCGTGGCGCTGATGTTCCTTGAGTACACCAAAACGGTCTCGCTATCACTGATCACTTCTGAACGCAATTCCTCGACGAGCCGATCTCGTTATCGTCCGTCCAGCACGGATTCCCTTCGTTGCGCACAAATACGGGCACACCAGGTATCTCGCGCGTCATCTTTGTGTAGCATTTTTCAGCTGCTTGGAGACTGTGCTTACCGAATGGCATGTTATGAGACGACCCTACCAAACCTGTCCAACTTGGGCGCAAGTACTAATGTGTGGCCGACGGGCAAAACTAGAATTGTGGTCCAAGACCAGGCTTGTGACTTCTGTTCTAACCTTATATTCTTACGAATGACTGAGCTAATACAGGCATCGTTTAAATATATGAGACGAAATGGGCACGCCAGCTTCCTTAGCACTGCCTGTGTCGGGCTGACATACTCCTGCGTGCCACATTGCATATGTACCGTGTGACGTCACTCACTCCCGCGAGCGTGAGCGCCCGTACCTCGTGGTGGACTAGAAGGTGGTTTACTGCGCAATGTACCAATTGCTTGGCAAGGCAAGAAACAGACATGGCGGGATATAATGCTCTGTATGAACTAGTACATACTCAATCTCCATACTCTCATTATCTTACAACTTTATAATGACTGCACAAGGTTTATGAACATACTGCCCTTTCACTGGGTCTTAACAGATAGGCCACGCATCTTCATTGAATTCGCATGGCAGTGACGAGTTGCTAAACGCGTATCAGACTTGCAGTATTTCCTGCTGCTTCTGCATCTGAAAGAGTCGGCTGGGCGAGACATCCTTGGAATAGTCCTCCTCGTCACTACATCCCGACATGAAAGACGTGACTGAGGTGCGGGTGCTCTGGTCTGAGCTGCATTCGGACAGTGTCATCATCAGCTCGGGCAGCTGGGGGTTGTCGCCTACTATGAACGTAGCAAAAGCGCGAGAGACGCTGTGCACCAGCACGTTGCAACGTTGGTTGCCTCTGTTGACCAGTGACGCCTGAAGCGTCCGTAGTAGTCGAGTGAGAGATTGTCGTCTCGCCTCCACTACACGAGACGAGTAGATGGGCAGCAAATTGGGCTTGGGGAAGTGGTTCTTGATCACCGTGTAGAGCCATTTGCACTCAGCAGGGCACGCATGACCACGCTGCAGGTTCTTCAGCAGCTGTTTACGGAAGTGACGGTAGGCGTTAAACGGTCTACTGACAGTCCAGACGAGCTCAGGGTCCTGGCAGCATGGGGGCGTGTAAGTGGCTTGCACTTGGTACTGCACTTTCGATAACTTGCCGTTGGCGTTGATACTGCGTATATTGAGGTGAAGGTGCTCCAGCCAAGCAGTGGATTGGGACAGGTCTGCTGAAAAAGATGCGCGTTTGCGGTAGTGGCCTGAGAAATTGGTCACAGGTGTTGATATGATTCCCATGGTCACTGTTACGAGTAGATCCGACTTTGAGGAAGCAAGAGAGACAATGAAGTCGGATGTGGTCGGCCAGGGGTGGGCGATTGATTTGGTGACAAATAGAATGACGCTTCAACCGACACGAAAAGTTTTCTCATGAGTCAACTGGTGCTGGGTACTGATAAAATTAATACTGTCATCAACCGAATTGGCTTGACAGGTGGTCCCCACAGTGTTTAGTATTGTCTGTATCGGATCAGGACAGCCTTGAAGTGGACAGCCAATCAAGGGAAGTTGTGACGATGCCGTTGAGGTGTAAGAGAACCTTCTTCTTCGGCGGGTTTCTCAGGACCCGGATTGTAGTTGGCCATTGATGATTTCAGGTCGGATGATAGTGTCATATGATCAGAAGCTACAAATTGCGACCTGAAATCATTTCTATTAAGCCTTTTCATCACGGTACAAGCATATCTTAGCTATGAAGTATTAGGACAATGTTACGGTAAGCCTTACTTGGAGTTGACTCCGTACATCCAAACGAATTGCTAAACAAAGACAGATGGATGTTTGCATAGCTCAACAGATAAATCACCTATTATCAACCAGAACAGTTCTTAATGCTTCCAAGTATATTCCCAGTAGATATCGCACGAATCTCATCACCTTATCTTTTAAATACCCCTTACACAGCAAATAATTTGAAAGAGGTTGTTTAATGATGTCACTGCTTGTCGTCGCAACTTATATAAACGAAACCTTGTGTGCTTTATCGTATCACGCAACCTTGCGAAGTCTTATTAACACATGACAATAAATGTTTTAGCCTCCGGGCAGCCGAAAGATGCCATGAATAATAAGGTTGTTATCAAAAACTCTGGGTATCTATTGAGATTGTACATGTACGATACCGGCCGGTGCAGAACATCGTTCTGTTGCGCGTCTTAAGTATTAACAATACAAGAAAGCCATCGCAACAAACG